ATAGAAACAGTTTCAGCCACAAAATACTGTGAGAGGAAAATCTTTTGGATGATGGATATGATGCAGACAAACATACATTATATCATTACTCATCTAATTCTTAAAAGGATATAATAATAATCACCATCTACCTTTTATAAAATGTTCACATTATCTCTGAGTATGATTAACTTTGTAAATCAGAAGAGGCATTAGTAATGTTTGTGTTATAATAATGCTTTTTTTTTTTCTTTCTTCTTACCACTGCTGTTCTGAAACTCTCAAGAACTTTTGAGTTTCATTTTCATGTCGCCTGTAGTATAAAAGACTCTTAGAGTTTTTGTACTGTATTCAAATTGAAGTAGACTCACATTAAGTAATCTAATTTAAAATAATAAATGTCCATCCAATGAAATGTGTTTCTCTTTCATGCTACGATGAAAGCAAACAGAGCTCTTTTTAGGTCTCAGATGCTGGAGAGTCTCCTGAGAGTTTAGATAATAATAAAATAAATGATACTTACAGGCGGGATGAGGTAGCTCTCCATTCTGTATGGATGCAACATGGAGACCTCTTCTCCAACGGACCGGCTCTCAGACACTTTGCTGGCAAAACACTCTCACAACCTTTCAAAACTTTTGCGGCACCATTGCACAATGTTTCAAAATTTCCTCTCACTCAACGAAGCCCAAAAAATGTCTCTCTCTCTCTCTCTTATTGTATAGCACAGTCAAATGAACTTAGCTACTCTCGAAGGCCTTCCACTGTGTCAAATAAAATGAAATAAACAAGGCCCGCTGTTTGACTGTAAAATGAAAAAGGAACTTTTGGCTTCTGTAAAATGTCTGTGGGTGGGAGCAATAGAGTGTGTCTGCTAAAGGTTCCTGGCCATTGATGATTTGTCAGGGGAGACCATGAAACTCCACATTTATCAGGGTCTATATACTGTCCCCTCCTCTTATCAGCCAATCACCATGAAGGTTTTTCCTCACTCTCTGTTTCCCCCCCTCAAAAATGTGATAAACACAGGGTCCAGTGGAGTGTTTAATATTTAATATTTAAAGTTTGGAGGATTTTATTCTTTGCCTGGGCTTTTAAGATATTTTTCATTTGAATTATGGCATGCGTTGGTCTCAACAGCAGTGGATTCATATTGTGGCCATAATGGGTAGCATTTATAACCAGCATATGAATGGTTTATTACATACTAGCTGTGCACAGGAATAAGGAAATATTGAAGTGTTTATGAATGTATTTCTGCAGAGCTGGTGCATAAATATAAAGCATGACATTACAGTAAAACATGATATATATTATATAAATATGTTTTCATTGGAGGAAGTTATAATTGTTGAAAAATATTGCATATTAATAAGCACTTTATGTATGCATACAACTACATTACATTGTGTAATCAATCATTTATGTTATGGTTGTATAAGGTTTATAAGTTACAAATTGACAAGTTTCAAGTGTGTTAATTAAAAAACTGATGTTGTAAATGTATAACTCACTGTGCTTTAAAACCAGTAATAATAGGAATCAGAATCAAAGTAAGCTTAATTGACTGTGTATGTTTAATCATATAATATATATATATATATAATATATAATATTGACTCTTATTTCCAGTAACTTTTAATGTACATCCACATAAATAAAACGCATTATGAAGCATTAAGATGACCCTATAAGTTCTTATTTTTTAAACATGTTCATTCGAAAGGTACGCTACTGTTTACAGTTCACATGCAAAACAAAGACGGCATTTGCTGTGATGATAATGTATATTATTTTTAGTTGTCAGTCCTCTTTGTGTGAAGTCAAAGTGTCACATTGTAAACAACCATGTGTCTGGTTCTGAAGACCTGAAACTGATGGACTGAAAGTTTACGCTTGTAGCTAAATGACTAAAACATGTTGTTTGGTGATGTAAACAGAAGTTTGTTGAGGAAAAAATGTCGACACACGAGCATGCCCACACCCACCCACACAAGCACGCACGCACACACGCACACACACGCGCACACACACACACACACACACACACACACACACACACACACACACACACACACACACACACACACACACACACACACACAGCTGGAAGATAAGATGAAGGTACAGCATCTATTGTCACTGGAGGTAAATGGAGATTATGATTATCACAAAGAGGAGATACTGTTAGACCAGTTCCTGGGGGGGGTTTGAGTCCTTAAGCTGCAAAATAACTACAAAAGTTTGTTCAATTCAGTAATGCACTGTTATGCAATATACTGTGGCTAATAATTTGGTCTACTGTATGCTAATGAATATGTTAAATGTGTTGGTTACCAGAACATATCATGGCAACTGTAACAATTGAAGATATTTCTCAGATGCCGAGATAACAGTTGAATAGTACAGTAACTGTGTAGCACAAATCTGAGTGTATATTGTTAGCACTGCCTGTTTAAGAGGAAGACTGCAGCCTTGTGATAAGGCAATGTGCTGAAAATATTACTTTCTGTACGATCAAAATACTGAGGTTATGTTTAACTTCTAACAGCGGTCAATTTCTATGGGTGCTGGGATCTCAGCTACACATGAAAAACATCAAAATACTGCTTTCATGCTTAAGCAACATGGTCAGGCACATTAATCTACAGGAAGATGAAGCTGTAGCAGATTGTGATTGTCACTAGAAATATTCATATAAATAAAATAGTTGTACTGTGATTGCAGATTTAGCTATAACATTTATCTACTTTTACACGTTGGGTTAAACTGTAAAACGGATAATTGAGATCATTCTTTCTTCATGTCTGTTGTCATTTCAAGGGCTTTTTCGATCAATGTTTTCCTTGTTAACTGATGGAGGACCATAACAGTGTCTGTTTCAGAAGCTGTTAAAACCACACAGACTGTGGCCAGCCCCGACTGGCCCCATCTTAATCACAGCTGGGTGAACTGATGACATATACAGTAGCATTTTCCGAGAGTATTAATACACAGAGTGAGCTGCAGCAAGCCAGGCACTATTTCTATCGCAACTATTTTCAGTGAAACCAAAAGATAATGGTTTTTTTACCTTTTTTATGGTGACTTTTTGTTCATTTGAGCAGGAAAATGAGTGAAAAGTGACTGTTTAAAACACATTTATTTGGGTATAAGCATCACGTTAATGTTGCAGTTAGTTAAGTTGAATTATTCTATATACTGCCAGACACATACAGTTTATTTGTTGATTATGTTTTGTGTTAATAATTCAAATGTGCAATGTAACCAGTGACTGAATCTTTAAAATAAATGGAGAAAAAAGTGGAATAGACATATTAAGTTACATACAATCGAAATACTCAAGTTAAATACATATACCTCAATACTGTACTTTAGTATAGTACTTTAGTTTTCTACTAGTCTTTCCACTCATCATTTTTTATATGAAACCCTTTATATTAAAGAAAAGTAATTACGTAAAGCCGTCTGATGAGTCAAGAGTTAAGACAAATGTTGTGGTTAGTTAATATTTTTCTCCGGTGTTTTGTTGTTTATGTTCTGTCACTTCCCGTTCTGCAACCCTGCACAGTCCTGATCATTTGTATTCATTTTATTAATTATGTTTAACATTTTTGCAGGTAAACTTCATACAGACAAACAGCACTGGCACAAGTGTGCAGGACTTTTGGGTTCTTTCACAGTCAGAGTTTATGATCCAACTCACCAGTCCTTAAGGAGTGCAAGAACTAACTAAACTAAAATAAAACAAACAAATTAATTAATCAAACAATACTATCATATCACAAGAATGGACCTGTTTTCACTCTTAAAATCAGTGTCAGTAACAGCAGTACTAGGTTCATTCGGGGTTACTGTGTGCACTGTAGGAATATCAATAAAACTGGTGTTGGTTTATTCATTTTAATCAGAATCTGTCTAGAAGAACCATAACATCATTGTGTGTCATACTTTATTTGAGAAAAGCAATAAATCTTTCACAAGAGCTTAAAATAATGATTTGTTTGATAAAATGCATTAGTTTACCTGATGTGTGTCAGTAGAAGTATTGACTCCAGAGATTGCCAAAATAAAATGGATTTAAAATATTGATTTTATTTATAAGTGTAAGTTAAAAGTGTATTTAATTCAAGTGATGTCCAGTTGTGTTGTAGTAGTTACTGTGGGGCGGCTGTAGCTCAGGAGGTAGAGCAGGTTGTTCACTAATCAGAATGTTTTTGGGGCACCCTATTGCTCACCTGGTAGGGCCGCTGCCTCATGTACCAAGACTGAGTCCTTGCTGCAGGGGCATTGGGTTTGAATCTGACCTGTGGCCCTTTGTGCATCACCCTCTCTCCCTCTCTTTCTCGCTCTCTCTCCCCACCATTGACACTGACTATTTTAATCCAAAATAACAATGATGTCTGGTTTTGTCCTCTACCTTGTTTCTGTGATGGACTTTTAAGATGCCATGAAGTCTGTTTTTATACACAGAATTGTACTGGTCTCTTTGTCTTCCTTGTGGCCTGGGAGTTAAACATGCAGCATACATGCTCACCAAAAGTGACATATTATCAAATGAGGAAATGGGAACTTGTCTTTCAGATTCAGTTCCTTGAATGCTGCCTTTAAATGAATCCATTTACGTGTTATATGGTAAGGATGATCCAGAACTCTGTAAGTGTTGGTTACCTTGTTAGCGCATTTTCTTTTCATTTGTGTGTGACATAATGACCTAGTGGTTTAATCCACTGCTCTTCAATCTCCATGCCAAGCCTTTCTCCTACTATCTATATATATAGCCTACTGAAATGGCCTTTAGCCAGACGTTGACTCTGTACCACCTCCAGATGCTGTAGTGTGTCATCGTCTTAGGGAAAGAACAACCAACTAGATCATACAAGAAGAAGATAAAGAGATATTGTTAGTTTAACTGTACAATATAAAACATAGTTGTGTATTCACTTGACGTAATAAAACTTACACCAAAATCATTTCCTCAAACAGTTCTAGAATACAAATCAACTACAAGTACTACAAACTCATTAACCATCTTGTTTTTTTATTTCTTATTGACAAATAATTAAATAAATGCAACTGGTTCACTTTAACCCAGAAGTATGTTTAGTTAAGCCTTTGACTTTTTTCACATTCTGCAGGCAGATTGCAACATTGTAAAAAGACCATAAACACCATTACCATGATCACATGCCCTTCATTGTTTTTCCCAAAGTTTTCCATTAGTCATGTGTATAATTTTACAGTGACTATATTACTGTTATTTCTCTAAAACCTAATGCAATCTATTTTGACAAAGATAATGTTCAACTTTATGTTTATTATTGAGATTGTAGCTGGCAGTGGTCTTTTTTAAAAATATTTCTTTGAGCTTTTTGCCTTTTTTAGATAAAAATCTCAAACTGATCTGAGTTCAGCAGATCTGCCATTCAGTACCAACATACTGGTATTCAATGAGGGGCGCCAGCTTTAGGGGAGCTATAGGGCGCCCCATGAGAGGTGTTTCTAAAGACACATTTTAACATAATACAGTCCAATCCGATGCCACTGCAAACTGGGATCTCAGTCATAAACATATGATTGAGTTAACACCTTTCTGAGAAATAAAACAGCATTATAACATCATAAAGGAAGAAATTCTGGCTGATAGGTTGGCTCGTATTAGAGTTTATAGGTGGACCCAAGGAATTGGCCTGGGAGTGTAATGTAAGCACCACTGGCAGATTTTCAGACTCCTTCAGCCATGGAAGAAGGACTACACTTTTGCATTCATAATACAGTGGTGGACATAATAAAAACATGTCAAATGTATTGAATGCCCATACAAAAGCCATTCAGAGCATGTGACACTTACTCATTGTCCAGTTTTAGCTAAGTCTTTGTCAGAAATGTGCTGATTCATATCAACTCTGTTATTTGTTCACCCTCAGTGGTTCACAGCTCACAATATAAAATAAGCTGTGCAGTTTTAACATTAAGTCTAGGTACATTTACTCTAGCACTGCACTTAGATACAAGTCTGAGGTACTTTACTTACTTAGCTACTTGCATATTTTCCATTAGATGTCTTTGTACTTCACAACAATTCAGAGGGTAATACTGTACTCTACATTTAGTCTTCAGTTTTACAGGGTTCTTTACAAATTAACATTTTAGAAACAAAATGAGCTTGTAAAATATGATGCATTGCAATATAGATAACAAGAATATATAGAATACTGATTATTACTGGCTCTGCTTTGATCAACTACAATGCTAGTCACTGTACACATTAAAGCATTAGTAATCAGTAATGGCCATTTTTCTGCTTTGAGTACTTTTAGTTTTGATAATTTAACTACATTTTGCTAATAATACATACGGTACATTTCCTTAAGGACCAGCGTGTAGGATTTGGACCTTTAAAGGAATAGTTTGACATTTCTGAAAATATACTCCACTTTCTTGCCAAGAGTTGAGATGGGAAGACTGATACCAATCTCATTTCAGTACAGAAGCTACAGTTAGCAGATGGTTAGCTTAGATTAGCACAAAGACTGGACACAGGGAGGAAATAGCGAGCCTGGCTCTGTCTAAAGGTAGAAAAAATCCACCTACCAACACCTCTGAAGCTCACTAATCAACATGTTATATCTCATTTGTTCAATTTGAAGTGTAAAAACAGCCCATTGTGGTTTTACAGGGGGTTATGTGCAAGACTATTTCTTGGCCAGGCACAAAACAAGATATAGTGAGGTTTGGAGGTGCTGGTGGACAAATTTTGTCACCTTTGAACAGGCAAGCTGTTTCCCCTATTTCAAGTCTTTGTGCTAAGCTAAGCTAACCAATGCAAAATAATAATAAGCCAATACAAAAAAACACAAACTATGGCCTGACAAACTATTAAAGGGCAAATGCATTGGATTTCCTTACACTGCACACGTGTTCTGTTATGTTATTGTGTCCACCAGTTGTAAGTGAATGGGCTACTTTCACTCTATATAAACCTGTCCAGTGAGATATAGGTACTGTATAAACTAAAGTTGAGAACATTGTCATATTTATTTTCTAGTGTAAGTGACTGTGAAGTTACATACTTGTGACCTGCAGTAGCTCTGACCGAATGCTGCTTTCTGGTTTGTAGGGTGTAACTGAGTACTTCACAGTTTTCCGTCTGAATGCAGTCACAAGATACATATCTCTGATGGTTAAAGCTCACACAAGCACACAAACAGTTACATTGGCACCTCTTAATTCTCAGTCACATAGTTTGGCCCCTGGAGTTTTTGGCCTTGTCGTGTGGAGGTGTCAATGTTCTCATCACTATCTTTGTATTTACTTATTTTAAGAGGCCAGATATATTTTGAAGGAAGCAGCCTGATAGTTATCAAATTGTACTGTTACTGGTACTGTGACAGCTTACTCAACACTTCAAAACACAGGGATTACACAGTGAAATACATTCATTCTTCACTGTAGTTTGGTCCAATTAACTTTTAGCAAGCTCAACTGAAGTCATAGACATTTCCCAACAGACCTTGATGCATTTATTTTGCTATTTTACATATTGTTTTGCTGACATTCAGAGTTTTTTTGGAGTCTCCCTCTATTCAGTCTCAGAAGATTCGTAGCCTAAGGTCATGAGATTGTGCCCTCACAGCCTTGCAGAAGGGGAATGACACGCATGACCACTGACTGTGGAAAACAGGATACAGAGTACGTCGCAACAGGAAGTGTTGCACTCCTCCTCTGCCGAACATCAGTTTGACCAGAATGACTGCAGGTTGATGTCCACACTCTGTAACTCCTGTGGCAGTATTCAGATTTCGTAATCGTCTTCGCTCACCATTTCTTCTGAGCTAGTTGAGTAATTCAGTTTAATAAAAAAAAAGGGTTTTGTCCAAAAAAAGAAAGAAAGAAAGAAAGAAAGAAAAAACCCAGGCAGGCTGTACTATTCTTTATATTGGATGCATGAAAATATGTACTTTTGTAAATTGTGTATGGCAAAAAACAGTGAATCATCCAAGACAGCATTTTGTTAGTATTTAGTACATTTTTATAAAAACACAAAAAATAATATATAATAATTTAATACATTAAAAATCACCAGTAATTAACTGAAACAAACTTAACTATATCTCTTGTTGATTTGTTAATTTTATGTTTCAGCCATCCACAAATGTAAAGCATTTAAATTCCCATCTGTAAGGTCAAACATTGTTTGAGCAGTACATAAGTAATAAACTAAAGTAATTCAAAACTTGCATGAATTCTTTCAAAAATTAAAACAAAAAACACAACACAAAAATTCTGGAAATAATAAAATATGAGTAAATACTGGAGGTAAGATACAGTTTAACAGATTTATCAGCTCATAAACTCGACACATTATGCTATACCAACAATACACAAAGTACTACTAAAACCCCATCTCATATCAGAATGCTCGTATAAGGAAAAGTCAGGATACGCCCACAGACATCTTACCGTCGCCCTCTGTACAACATCCAGCGATGAGCTGTAAAGGTGTCCACAGGGGAGTTGTTGAACTACTGGAAGCAAATTGCCAAAGGTGGTTGAAAAATGCAGGCTTTCTATATATCTGTGAATTAGCAGGGGAACTAAAAACTTCCTTAATTCTACCAATTTAGGTTTGTGCCATAAGGCTTCTTCTTCTTCTTCTTCTTCTCCTTCTTCTTCTTCCTTATTAAAACAAGAAGGTGACAAACTCTTCCTACTAAACAAGTTTTTACAGCTGTGAATCCAATGTGAACTCCTACCGATACATTCAGTTCATTCAATCAAATCTTGACATCTCGAGTTTGAAGCCTCCATTAGTGACTAAACTTTATTGTTATTTTGCAATTTAGATTAATTACCAGCACACAATGACACAATGAAAGAGACCCCGTTTTGTTAACACTGCACTAAGAATCTATTTTTAGTGCCATCTTTGTCTTTAGTTTTCACGGTTTTGGTAAAGAGGATAAGCTGTTGTACTTCCATCAATGCTTAAAATATATTTACAGTTTGAAGTGATCCGAGTTGCGTGTTAACATATTAGAGGTTTTAGAGAAGTTTGAAATAATTAGAATTCAACATGCGCTTTTTTATCTGTAAAAATAAATGCTTCCCCTTTATTTAACTCATTTCAATGAAAAACACTAAGACCAACTATATTTCGAAAAGCAGAGTGTTAGAATATTTAAAAAGATCTGTATGTTTTTATAGAACTATTGCTGTGAAACAAGGAATGCATTTGGATGCAAATTTTATTTTATTTTTTAATAATTTGTGAGCAGTGAGTGTTAGTGCTGGCAGCCCTGGGACATGCAGAGCTGGAATAAATAACAAGCATTCAACTCAGCTCATTTGTTTTCATTTGTTCTCAATGAATGAATGAGAGGAGCTCATTTAAAAAACAGAGCAGCTGCTACCATGGTGAAGAGTATCCAGACCTTACATTATAGGAAAGCCACCTCCCAGCTGCAGGAGGTACAGAGTTACAACCTGCAAATACAGTTTTTAAGTCAGTTTTATGTTAAATTGCGTTTTTAGAAGATACTGCATCTTGCAATTATATCTTATTTGTTTATTTGAAAAAAGCTCTACTGCATATGCATATAAATGTTGGCCAGCTAGAAAATAAGCAAAGTCCAAGCACACAAATGACAGCAAATTTAGTTTTTAGTTGTTTTTTTTAAAACAGAAGTACATGTGTTAGATGATTTATTGTGTTGACACCTTTACAGGCCTCATGACACTGTGAGCCGCAAATGCCGAGCGGACTGACAAAATTGTCACAGTTTTGTACAGCCTGATCTGAGCTTTCAACAGTTGGAACATCATCAGTGGGGTCGAAGGGCAAGCCAGGAAGCATATACAGGGTGGTATTCGCCTCCAAACGTGGGGCCCAGTTTATGTGTTGGATCCGCAAGTGTGGGTTTTTAACAAAATACATTCTGTTTCTTCTGAAGTCTTCTGAAAGAACAGGAGGATATTACATCGAAAATTTCAGTTCTGTGGGTGGACAGTCCGCAGAGAAGGCCTATGTTTCCTGGCTGATAGTCAGCAGAGGTTTCAGTGGCCATCATGTGTTTCACAATGACATGGAACGGTCGCTTGACATGCATGCAAGGGGACATCCAGCCCTCTCACTTCTTATTCCTGATTCCTCATTTTCTCTGGACTCCACAAGATTCAACTATCAGACAAGGCTGTGTGGGTATTATTAGACAAGGGTGAATCACAAGGCACATGGACACGCGCATACACTCAAACTCACAAACTCACACACACACACGAAACCATTTGCAGTGGTAAGGAACTTTTTTCTCCTCTTTTATACATGACACATTAGAGTACAACTCTGCAGGAGAAGGCGTGCTGTCTCAGTCTCTGTAATAATTTACAAAAGTTTAACTTTTGTGAATATGTTCATTCCCAAACTGCGCACACACAAACACGCACATTTACCCATATACACCCATATAAGGCTTCGGGCCCTATCCCACCAAACAACTAAGTTCCTCTTTCTTTATGTATTGCTCAAGTCAGACAAGGATGACTCAGTGCAGATATTAATCATGTTTTTTGTTATCTTCACATCTCACTTTGCTAAGTCTGCCTGTCAGAGCTGCAGTTAGTCTATTTTTAAAAATGTGAGAACTTAAAGATTGGTTAACATTTTTAAATGTTAAAACCGAGGTCCCAAAAGAACATCGGTTTTACTCCGATAAAATATTGGTGGCGGGAGATAAGACTGTTCAGCATCATATGTTTGTACATTCGTACATTTTGTGCTAATTATCACAATGGTGGCAAGTTTTCCTATTCATTTTGCAACTCCTTCAAACTCTCTTTAAACATCTCAGGCTGTGAGAAAGTTAATGTCAAAGTAAATGAATGGAAAGGGGCAAGGGTCCTGAGACTGCTGATGTACCTGTGTGCTTATAACTTCAAGTGCAAAACAAGTTTAAGAAGCAGATAATGCTGAGGCAGAAGATTAAACATATTTGCTGTAATAATATAATGAGATTTTTGTTTTCTTGGCTGTCATCAGGGCAAATGTCATACAGTAATTTATTCACTCAACCCCTGTCACATGCACCACCTGGTGGTCAGGCAGTTTAAGGGAACTTCTTGTACAGTTGGACCTGGCTGCTCTCCTAGTGGTGAAGTAGGGATAGGGGTCACCTATAGGACCCAGCCATGGGTGCAACCCTCACAAAGTGGGCATTAAAATGAAGCATTCAGATCCTTTACCAAATAAAACTACTGATATATGAATTGTTAAAATATGTTAAAAGTCCTGCATTCCAAAGCCGACTTAAAGTTAAAGTACGGAAGTTTTATGAGCTAAATAAAGTCGTTCTTCAGAACAATGGTACTAATATAACATATGATATGACTGGATTGTTGATACTGAAACTCATGCACAGCTGTTCAAGGTGGAGCTGGTTTGAACTACTACAGTTTGTAGATTCACTCAATGACTCCCAAACAAGGATAAAAAGTTCTGCTATTAAAATTATATATTGTTTCTGAGCTTTGCTTTTTTTCTGAAATATTAGATCATTTTACATCTTTGAGCCATGATCAGTTCTATATAAATTAAACTATGTGAAAAGGTTGGACATGTCTCTTTGGAGGAACTAATTGTAATCTTCAACAACATGTTTTATATAAATTGGTCATGTTTTGTTTATATATAAAATATGAATCTGCAAAGTAACTAGTAACTAGAGTTGTATGTTTTGGAGTAAAATGTACAATATTTCCCTTTGTAGTGGAGTAGAAGTACAAAGTAGCACTGAATGATACACATGTACAAGTATACATACCTCAAAGTTATACATAATTATAAGTACAGAACTTGGGTAAATGTACTTAGTTACTTTTCCCATTTTTCTGCACTTTGAGTCAGCCATGTATGTATAATAACTGATCACTGTATGACTCAATGTGAGAAGATTTAATTGAGTTGTGGATGTGTGGGGGAAAGCAGAGGAGGCCTCCACAGTCGTCTCTCATTGCAGGCTCTGTACTTTCACTGCAAGACTCCTGCCTGATTTCTATCAACTCCAGATATATCCTGTGGCTTGTTGAGTGTATTAATAAAGCCCATTTTCGCCATCTCAACTGATCTTTCTATTTATACCAGAGGATGCTGGGAGGATGGCGTGCCTCATACCAGCTATACCATTTATACTATATATATATATATATATATATATATGTGTGTGTGTGTGTGTGTGGTGAGATAGAGAGAGACAATTCATGTATTTTGTATGTATGTATATTGGTTTTCCTCACTACTTATTGTTTGTCTATTTCAAAATCTGAGTTTCTGGTACCAAGCAAAGAGTAATACAGTTCATCACTGCAACACATTCTTAGTTAAACAGTTTTTTTTCTCAGTTTTTAGGGTTCAGTTGTAGGTTGATCCCACCATTTCCACATAATTCGGTCAAAACTTGCCACCTTAGCTCTGCTTACACGCACTGATTCAATGCCCACTGCATCCTTACCAACAGGCCGTATTTAACAGGAGTTATTTCCTGTAATGTACAATGACAGTGAGCATAAGGATGCATAATATCACTGTATGTTTCACCCTCCATCTTTATGTTCCCTGACACAGCTTATAATAATACAGACAATGCATAATTCTGTCTAAAGTAATAATCTACAACAACTGCAGTGTACTCTAATGTGGCCCTTGAGGACGACACTGACAGTTGTTATTTATGTTTTGGGAATATTTAGTTGCTCTCGGTGGTGGATGAAGTACAGTACAGAGATATCTAACCAGAATGGGACTAAAGTCACCTATTAGAATATTATTTTTAAGTAAAAGACTTAAAGCATCTCACATTTACTGTCCTTAAAGCTAGGGTAGTTAATGTATTTCAGAAGCATTTTTTGTTATATCTGCTGAAATTCTTTTTATATCCCGACAGAAATCATTAAATCAAATGCTCTGGGGGAGGAAGAGTGGTATCTCTAGCAGTCACAGGCTTGTAATAAGCCGACCTGCCTGTCTATGATCAGAACCACTCTGATTCACCAAATCTGCTTAAGCTAAAAAATGTCCTTCCTATTTTGTTTTATAGTAACAAAGACGCTTACAGGAAAAGTACATTTCATTTAGGAAATGCAGAGTGAAAGTGAAAGTTGACAAAAACATGAAATCTCAGATATTCCCCCAAAAAATACTACAACAAAGTATTATTGTTACATTACACCACGTTGTAGTTAGGCCAGCGTTGCTCTGTACCAAAGAGGAGTCCACAAGGAGTCAGTAACATATTGTATAACAAATTAAGAGCTCTGTAATGCAGTCCGACACAAAATCATTTTCAGGGGTCATTGATATAAAAATCTAGTTTTGGCACTGACTGCACCCACTTTGGCTGATGGTGTATTGAATAAGTCGGTTCCTCTGTCCCTCGCTGTGCTCCTGCAAGGTGGCAGTCAGGTAGTGAAACCCAAACTGCTCAGATGGTTAACCCTATATTTTGGTGTGTAAAAGATAAAAAAAATAGTATTATAGATGTGTCCCAGTAAACCAGTGACAGTGCGACAGTGATCCTGCATGCACAATACCAGCACCCTGAAACTAAAGAAGCTAATTAGAATTTGACCATCATTAACTTTACACCTGTGTTTTTCCTAGTGTGACATGTTAAAATGTCTTTTGTGAAAGAAGCCTAAAAAAGATGAGATCAAATTACATTTATCTGAAAGGACATTCAGTCTGCATAAAATATAGCCTTTGTGGAAATAGCAATAATACAAAAATGGAAATGTACATATCCTCAGGGGCCTGAGTACGATGCTGTTCAATCTGCAGTCTACCTGATATGAATAAGAAAGAAAGCTGAAAGGTGATTCAGTGTTACTATATTACAAGCACAGAAATACAGAGTATTAAAGGAAAACCCATATTTGGAACAGCTCCTAGGAAATATCCTGGTTTAATGGCTACACTTTCAATCCCTATAATCAAATAAAACTAATTTGTCTGTGTCCAGATATATACACACACACAGTAGGCCTATATCTCAGCATTTGATTCACTTATGTGAAGAAAGAAGCCTATTAAGTAGCTTAAAAATAATAAGAAATACATAACACAGACAGAGAATTGAATAAAAAGTTCCCTAAACAGGACATAATCTGCTCCAAATGTAATCCAAATCCTCATTTTACACAAACTTCTTGCAGTTATTGCATTCACTTTTTGCGTTCATTGCACAGTTTTGAATATAATATGAAATATCCATTAAAATATGCCACTGAGTCGGTTTACTAAACCACAGAAAAGTAAAAAGACTGGGACCCACTGTCCTAAACTGACCTTGTAGTATAAACACTTTGGCTCTAGGATCCTTTCTGTATGTTAACTGTGTCTGAATGTGAACATTGTAGAACATTTGGTTGATTATCTGTATTTTGATTAAACACAACAGAGAATAAGCTCCAGTGTCTCCCCTGGAGGCTGCTCCTTGATGTGGAAAAAGTTACTTCCTGATACATTTTGGATGGGGCGGGATCCTCTCTGTTTATTTCTTCCCCCTCTTCCAGGATCCTGATACGTGGCTGTTTTGGGAAAGCCGTGGATGACCGACAGTTACTCCAGTGCTTCAGCAGCTGGGAGTCAGGAGAAACTCAGCGGCGCCGGCCTCCCTTCATCAAGTCGGCCTGGATGGCAGGGACACACTGGTGCAAAGACTGTCGAAACCACAAGGTATTTTTATTTATTTATTATTTTTTTTAAAACATAAAACGCCAAAATTCGTGTTGCGATTTCGTTGCTGGGATGTTGGCGAACGTTAGCACCAACTTACACTAACTGACGTTCTAGTTGTAACGGTGCGACCGTTGACCGTTGATTTGCAGTGATTGCGTGCGTTCGAGCTAATCCGTTAGCAACGGGTGTCTGTGTGTGTGTGTGTGTGTGTGTGTGTGTGTGTGTGTGTGTGTGTGTGTGTGGCTAACGTTAGCTTGCTAACTTTTTAGTCAGCTCACTGCGTTGTTTGTAAGTAAACACACGGTTTATTTGTGCTAACGTTAATTCGCCGCGTTGTTTCTCGGTTTAGCACTATGGTGGTTTTATTGTCTGTGTATTTTTATTGTATTTTATTTTTTATTTTTTTTTGTCGCAGTGCAACTGTTGTGAGTTCCTGCTAACTCAGACAGGAAAGCAACGAGCAGCATGTGCTACTTAACTCATTAGCTTTCAAATGTTAATAAAAAATGTTGCAACCTGTTAAAGATGAATTACTCCGTTGCATGAAGGTTAACGCTGCTCATAAATATCCAGAGGCAGCAGCTCAAAGGGAGGAAAACTCTGCAGACCCCCCCTGGCTCAACCTAACTTATAACACAACAGTAGCAACAGTTTGCACCTGGTTTCATCATCTAATGAACTATTTTGTTTTTATTTTATGGTTGTTGAGTAATGTGGTAAAACAGCTGTATCAGTGTATTGGCCTATGTCAGTGGTGCCCAACCTTTTTCCTTAAGGGACCCCTTTTCTATCATTTAATGACTAAATTATGTAAATTTATATAAAAAACTGTGCCATGAACCCAAATAGTGAACATAACTGCAAAAAGTTTGTGTAAAACAAGGGATTTGGATGAATTTTGAGCACATTATTTCCTGTTTAGGGAACAATTCTGTCTATATTCTGTTTTTTTAATAATTTTTAACAATTATACATACTTAATGGGCTACTTTTTTGACAAATTCAGAGTGTTCTTGTCTCTGGCGCTGACAGTTTCCTTACTAATTTACTTAAAATGTACTTTTCTTCATGGAAGTGAACCAAATGCTTTAAAAATAAACATATTTAAAGTTTTCTTCGTCTAAAAGTCTAAAAATAACAAAATAACAACAACAAGAAGGCCTCGCAAACCCCCATGAAAGTATGGAAATCCCTACTGGACAATACGATGGCAATTGCAAGGCAGCACAATATGGTACACATATCATGGTGTTGTGAAATTTTTGGGGGTCTGTACCAGACAATCATGATTTGTTAAATCTGGAGAACAAGATTTGTAGACCAGGGAATCTCTACAAGCACTACAACGCTTCAATATAATGCTGTTTTGTCAGTACACAATGTCAAGACAGTAACAATTCTCATCATTATCATGTGTTTATGTAAAATAATAAATAAATAAATATCAGCAAATTTTAACAAAACGTTAATTGTTTCCAACCTACAGTTGCAAGAATGTGCAGCTTTATTTTATCTTACGTGTTAGAAACTGAATATGTTCTGGTCTTGGACTGTCAGTCAGACAAGATCACTATGGGCTCACAGTTTCCTGACATTTAGTTTACCAAATAACAGACCAGATTCATCGATAATAAAAATACTCATTACCCGCAGAAATTGAAAAGGTACACGAAAGGCCTGTTTGTCTTAATGTGTGCTCTTCTTGCAGAATTATTGGTTGCAAGTGCATTTTGGACCGTGGGACGGATGAAAGGTGGAAGCTGTGTGAAGCCCAGCTGGGCTGTAGCTGCTCTATTTATCCCAGTTACCCTGCTGATGCTGACCTCCAGGGGGGCATCAAGCAGCCAGAAGATGTCACAAGCCTCTATGGCTCATGCAACAGCCACGGCTGCAGGAACAGGACCCAGCCTGACAGATGACCTCCCAGGCCTCCGGGCAGTAGCAGACTTCTTAGCCAGTGAACATGCTCATGTTTGGCTCTTGTCCCTGGTGAGCTCTGTTGCTGTGGGCCTCAGTGGGATTTTCCCCCTGCTTGTCATTCCCATCGAGGCTGGAGCAGCCCTCAAAACAGAAGGTAAAAGAGAAATGTAACCTAAACATGCTGGTGAATTACGAATGAACGATAATGATGACACATAGACAATTCTGTCATTTGCAATATTTTTCAAGAGAGTCATGAATGATACATCACGGTATCTGTGTACTTGAAGAGAAAAGATGACCTCTAAATGGTAATATATATTTTTTAGAAAAGTTCTGCATCTCTGTAATGCATTACAAAGAACTAGTCATCAAAGAAATATATTACTATACTATTTTTACTTCTGTATTTAAAAAAAAAAAAGGTCTACTTTTCCTAACACATACATGCCAGCATGAACACAAATGGCTCCATCTAAATGTGAGACAGCTATAAACTGACAGTAAGTGTTAAAAGCAGCCTCATTAACCCGACAGAATGTATCGTGTTCTTGGTTCATTCCTAATGCGTTGCATGAACTACAGACAGCCCATCAATCTGTCCTGGCATCCACAATTCTCGCACTTCTCACAACCATACACATACAATTCCATCTCTTTAGTGACTTGGTAATAAATCTCAGCTCTTCACACCCCATGACAAGAGAAAACAACCTCAGTGGGATCAGCAAGTAGTTCTGCTGACCCTTTGTCAGCTCGACTGGCTGAAAACAGCTAAACACAGCTGCAACTTCTTCATGGTTTTAAAATGTTAGATTACGGAAAACTTTTAACGATTCAATGAAATGGGCATTTGAACTTCCTGGAAAACTTCAGCTTGCAGGATAGCAGAACATCTTCAGGGGTGAGCTCATGAGCTCCATTGCAGGTTTTTCTGTTTTTAAAGTATAAATGAGACTGAAGAATTGGAAAGCAGGCTGCCCACTAAGTGATGTAATTTCACGTTCCACACCAAAATAAATTGAATGGAAGAATATACAGTGGGGGGAAAAAGGCTTATTGCTGTAAATTAAAGACACTACATGGATGTTGTATGCAACCATGCTAGCAGCTCTGTAAGGCTGTACAGAGGCACAGTGGTGCTTTGAGTGTAGGATAGAATGAAATCTTGACATGATAATGGTGGTAGATGAAAAGTTAAGTTATAACAATTCATCCTGATGGGAACATGAGTGTGTGAACCAGTTTGATGGAAGTCTGAGACACTTCCCTCAAAACTACAAAATGCTGCTAGGGAAGTGATCATTAGGAGCAATCATTGGGATAGGTTGTCTGTTAGGGAACCCTGAGTGTTTGTACAGATGTTTGTGCCAACCCATGTGGTAGATGTTGAAATACCACTGAATACGTGAAAATTTAAAAATGAGAGCTGGTCGATGAGAAGCCAGGCGGCCACATAAGTTGGTAGGATTCTTCCTTTTGGAAACCATGAATGTACAAGATTTCCTGGCTGTCTGTCCAATAGTTGATGTTATTATAGTCTGCACTAAAGTGGTGGTCAGACAGACCGTGCCATTCATAGAGCCACGCTGCTAGCTAATACTGTAGCAGACAGTAATGTGCACTTTCATAGCAGTTTCATTTGGTTGATGTTTGTTCCTTAACTTATGTTTGAACACATAAATTGCTTTTCAATCCACCTGTTTTTTATGTGCATTTTCAGTTTGCACATAAGAGAAAACCCTCGGAAACGCTTCAATAACCACGCCTGAGTTACTGTGGGTCAGCCTGAGGCCTCTTGAGTGACCCCACCCTCAGGAACGTGGCAATCCAGATGTATTTTAGGCCGTGGGTTTTCAAGTGCCGTCCTGACTGGAGCGTTAGTCATTACTGAGGGAACTCCTAAAGCATGACATTTTTTTTGTGGAACACAAGAGTAATCGCTGTGTATATTAGCAGCCTGAGCCAGAGACACTTCTGTGGATTTGTGGGTGTGTGTGTCATGTTTTACTTGTCATAAATATATGAATTAATCATTAGAAAAGGAGGAGGAGTGATCTTAAGTCAAAATGAAAGAAGATCACATAAATCAACAAACAGTTCTTTAGTAAACAAACTATACAGTAAATGCTACCTTGTTTTTCTTCACTCTTTCTCCGTCTTTTCTCAGCTGGATGCCAGAAGCTGAAGCAACTCTTGAGTTTTGCTATTGGTGGTCTCCTTGGCGACGTATTCCTGCATCTACTTCCTGAGGCGTGGGCTGTCTCTGACTCTCCAGGTGGGTTTCCTTTCCACCAAGACCTCCTTTGTATTTGAAATATTTATTTATTTCTTCGACCTATTCTTCCCTGTCAAGATAGTTCTACTAGAATTTAGCCAATGATGTTTACTACTATAATGTAAAACTATTTATTATTACTGGGCCATTGCCTTGCCGTACTAATAGTCTGCTTAATACCTGAAAGCAGGCCAGTGTAATGTCAGTAAACCTCATTTGGGAACAGTAAATCACATATATTTTCAAAATATATTAATTATGCTTTACATTGCTTTCAAAATGTAAATATTATTTTTCACAGATTTGTATTTATCTGTTATAGTTATTAGAAACATTGTTGACTGCACTACTACTACTACTCACCCATGTTTTAGCACAGTTGTCACTGCATATGCTCAGTGAATCTCTTTGCTTACACCTTAGCTGGTAGACATAACCACTACATGACCCAGGGCCTGTGGGTAATCGTTGGCCTGTTGGCCTTCCTCCTCCTGGAGAAGATGTTTCCAGACCCAGACAGTCAAGAGGAGCCCACTTCAGACTCAGACCTGAATTCTAACTCTGCTGTGAGTATTTCGGCCGAAATAGTATATTTTTAGAAGAATCTGCTCATTTGCTGCTCATCGGAGTCTCACTGCACTCAGACATGTCAATACAAGCCTTTACATATTTTCATGGGTATGCTTAGTACAGACTCCTGTTTGTGCTTCGTCTGCATATTTCTGTCAGTGGTATCAGTGTTTTTGTGACTGTAGCATCAGATGACCCACTGTACAACCGGTCTAACGGGGTCGAGTTTAAAAGAATAGTTTGACATTTTGGAAAATGCACGTATTTTCTATCTCGATGAAAGAAGATCAATACTACTCTAACATATTGTCATCACAGTGGGGACTCTGGGATGTTACTGCTCCTGGCCAATAAACAGTCCGGCACATTACCCTCCATTTAACCACAATGTGTCACTTATTATAGTTGGGTTTGTGGTATATCACGTTGTTTTTTCCATGATGGAGCATTTGTGTAGGTTTACAGTGGCTTATTCTACTGTCAGGAGTACATAGAATATACAAATATTTTAAATGCCATCATGTGTATATACTGAAGACTTTGGTAACTTTAAGATTTTTTTTTACCCCACAAAATGATAAAATGTATGAAGGAATCAGAATGCATGAAACAGCTGCAGGATGTCAACAATTTGTATTGTGCAAACTGCAACAAAGTAAAAACAAACCTTAAAAAAAGAAGATATGCCAACAACTTGAACATTGCTTCCTTTTCAAAGCAAAATATTTTTAAATAGTTGTATAAACACTATAAACTGACATAAAATACAAAGTATTCAAAGAGATATTTCTCAAATGTTTACAAGAAACAAACTGCAGTTGTTTCAGCTTTGCGCCGTTATGGTGGCATATGAGAAATTCATATTGTATGGGAAATTAAAACCGGTATACTGGTATCATCTTGTATATATTATCCAGCATTACATACAGATGAAGTAGTAATATCTTAGTCTTCTCATCTAACTGTCTGCATAAAGCAGATAAGTGTTTTCCTAAAATATCAAACTGTTAATTTAAGATCCTCTCGCTATAAATGATTATGAAATGGATGTTTATCAATTAGCAAACTAAACTATATGAGATATTGTGTCTACACTGTACTGGTTTGCAACAGCTGTTCATATTTATTATTTAATTAGTGTTAACAAGTGTTAAAATGAGATGCTTGCTGTATCAGCGTCAAAGTTGAAGTTTATTGTTTAGAAATTATATCATAAATAACACCGGGTGTTGACTGCAGGATAAACAGAGACAACTTTTTAACGCATCACTTCTTTGTAGACAACGAACGGCTGGTTCCAGTATGTTTGTAGAGGCCGTCTCATCCTCCCTCCTGTCTTTGTTGTGCCAGTGAGGGAGAAGATTGGAATCCACGGCTCAGCTCCTCCACTAGTGTCTATTTATAGTGCCGGGGTGAAGCAGCTGCTTTAGCCATTTTAGCGTCCACAGGAGAGCACTCAGCTTTTAGACAGAGGCAACAATAGACAGGGACAGAGTGTAACAGTGTGTTTTAGAAACCGAGAGAGAGGTTATTCGTATTATGTTCTTTTAAAATACTGTGAGTTTAGGCTAATCTTACCTGTAACAAGCTTCTTTTTACTTGAATTGGATAGTGTTTTTGATGGATACATCATATGTGATGAGAGATTTCACCACTTTTCCTATTTTAGGTCATTTTAAAATTCCTCATTAAACAATACTCATGAGGTGTTTTGCAAAGACGATTTAACTCCAATCTATTTTTACAGCAGGAGGAGATTGATAGCCATGAAAATTCATCACACTTTATTACTTCCTCATGCTTCAATCATAGACATGGAGCAAACATTTCTTTGCCGCGGCCTGAAGACAGCAGGCTATTTCCCTCTCACTTAATTTGACTATCAGTCTAAATGGCAACGTAAGTGGTTTCTGATTGAGGGAACAAGGAAGTTGACTATTCTCGGAAAACAGAGGCTATAGCCTCTCTTTCCTGAGATGAATCGGTCTCTTCTTTTATATTTAAAATATAAACATGCTGAAGAGTGTTGGAATTTATGGGTCATCTGTTATGTCTGGAAAATAAGCAGAAGTACAGATTTTTTTCAGCTTATTGCTGAATATGTAGGAAGTTGGAAAAATAATGAGGGACTTTTTTAACAGCTGTTCTGCTGGCGGTGGGTGAACCCTTTGACACACAGTGGGAGCAACAATAAAATGGCTGTTTATTGTACTGTGGAAATCAGGCTACCATTAACTCACTGTTTTTAGCAAGACTGGTGTTAGTGGGCAGGTGGTGTCCTTACGGGACACAAGTTAACTCAAAAACTCTTTCGTCCCCCTGGCCATTAGACTGTACAACAGCTCTCAGTAAAGGCAGAGAGGACAATAGATAATAGACAATGGACAGTTTCTACCTGTATTTGCACATCCATTTGCACTGTTTTACTTCCATTTGCACTCCACTCCATTTGCACTGTTTACTGTTTGCACTGTTTACTGTAGCTACTGTTAATTTGATATATTTTATATACATAATACTTTATATAACTCTTAACTATTCTTAAGGTTAGGGTTTTTAATTTTAGTTCAATGTATGTTTTGTATTTTGTATGCTACTGGATACTTGAATTTCCCTCAGGATAAATAAAGTATCTATCTATCTATGGGAACATAACAATTATTCATATAAAACATTTACAAAGTTTTAGAAAAGAAAAAGCATGGGGTTATGGTGCATGTGAGGACAGCATGTTCACTTGTGCCTTGTTTTTCTTCCTTTTTTTCTCCACAGACACAGTCTAATTCAGTTTTCAGTGGAAAAGCAGTGGTATCACTCAGAAATGGGCTCCATGCTGAGTCATGGAAATCCTCCAAGCAACAGAGTCTGCAGGAAAGATCAGAGAAAATTAAGGTAATGCTGACAACCAAAACATCTTCCAGTTAACAGAAAAGAAAATGATTTAAAAAAAGAGAGACAAACTCTTTGATATGGGATGCTTACATAAGAGGCATTTTTTGCTTCTTCAAATCCTCTCAACTCATTAATGTGGTTTGTTAAACTATCAATTTAGTTGGCTCAATGAAACCAGAAAGCTGAACTTGACACAGTTTATTGGTCATTTTAAATTATATTCATCTTGCTCCTAAACATTTAATACAACACAACATTGTTTTTATTACTGAAGGGTCTTACTGTTAGACTGTGACCCCCTGTGACCTTGTCCAGCACTGCCTTCTATACTGCATATTTACACTTATGGCATATGTACATTTCACCTTTTTACTTATATTTAGCCTTTTTATCACCATTTTTAACATTTTATTTTTTTTCTTTATTTATAATCTTATTTTTTTACACAACCTCAGGGAACAATCCTTTATACTGGATTTGTCTCAATAAACATACATGCCACTTGGGGATTCATTTATGAAAAAGAAACACCAGCCACCAACAGAAAAATGTGTGTGTTATAAGTGACATCACAGATTATTAGGACATTTAATTCTGAGTCTGATAAGCCATCCCACAGCTTAGTCTTCAGAGACATAAAACCCAGCCAGTAAGAGAGCAGAGAGGGAGAAGAATAATGTGAAGATAGACATCGCACTTAAGTCCACTCAAGTAGCACATCTCAGTGTGGTTTTAGTACTTTTACATAATAATGGACTCAAAATGGCCAGTCAGGAAAGAGGAACTGATGAAATAATATTACCACTTACAGATCCACTGGAAGGTTTTATTTATTTAAATAAAAACTTTCCAAAATCTAAAAGTAAAATAAGTGGTTAATAAGAAAAATAAAGGAACGTTTTAGTGGTGTGTGTGTGTATATATAACATGCAGTTAACACTAAATTTGACAGTCAAGTCTACCCAGGTAACAATCATGAATCAACTTCTAGATTACCAGACAAAAGGGAATAAATGCGTCATTTGAGATCAGCAGGATCAACTGCACACCATAATGCCAGACAGCCTACTAAAACTCCCCGCACAATTCAATGGTGTATTAAGGGGACTTCAACAACAAAATTCCAAGGAATTCATGGCACATCACCAGCAGCTGCTTTTTTTTTTTTTTTTTTTTTTTTACTGTTTTTCAGTTTCTTTGTGTTCTTACACTGGATTGAGGTTCCAGGTTTCCTCAGAGGAATGGATCATTTACAGTCTTATTTTAATGGGGTCAGACTACAAAACTGGTAGTAACTTTAGCTGGCATCACAAGACATATTTAGGAAATTCAATCTATAAAAGCTTACATACTGGATATTGAAGTGCAACTGATGCCATTTAACCAGAATTATATCTTTTTAAAAGAGATGATGTTGTGACTGATAGCTGATTACATTCCAGTTGACCATACTCCTTGTAGTTGATCAATTGTAATGTGAGTAACAGTGTGTTTCATTGTTTGATTTGTCACAGACAAGTGGATACCTAAACCTACTGGCCAACTGCATTGACAACTTCACTCATGGACTGGCCGTTGCAGGGAGTTTCCTGGTTAGCAAAAAGGTAAGAAGCTGTGATACAGTAACTTCAACAAAGTCTAAAAAGACTAAAAATATATGTACACATAACAGATATGAATGAGAATACCTACATTTCTTCACCCTGTGTTACTTTTTAGAGTAAAATGCAAGATATACGTGGATTATACACATTTACAGTCTAGAGTTTGAGATTTCTGGCCTATAGTAGGTCAAAATATACACCAGTCAGTGAATATTAAAATAACATTTTGACAATTTCTGAATGCAGGATAACTAATTCATGTTTTAGTTATTTCATGCATTCAGTCCTTGAAGCAGAAGTTCTAACAGTACATTTCACAGTGAAGAAAATGTCTTTAAAGTACTGCCTGCATTTAAAAACAAAACCACCAGTAAGGAAATTGTGTTTTGCACTTATGGATCTGGGGCTTCAATTATCAACTATGTGCTGAAAAGGTCTGTAACTCCACTGGTTTAGCAAATTGCTTGTGTGAGAATATGATTACTTAGTTAGTCCTCAGCATGCATATTTATACATGAACTCCGGGTTTTCATGAAGTATGATTTCAGGTGAAATGGCTGCAGACCAAATTAGCACACAATCATGAACTGACCATCATTTATAATAAATTCAGTGCATAAACTGACACTAGAGGCCTTTCTCATTTCCCAGTTTGTACTTCTTCGATTCCTCTCCTCGCACTAGAGATGCGAGCGGAGGAGGCGAGGCAAAGCAACAGGCATTTAACAGAATGAGATGTCGTTGCTTCAGAGTGAACAGCTGCCCGTTGTTTTCTTATAGAGCATCGCTATTTTATTATCTCTGTCAGATAAACACAGTTCAGAACAATTATTATATATTTTCTTTTAATTCAGTTGACAACAGATGTCACATATATATATATATATATATATATATATATATATAATTTCTTTTTTTATTATTATTTTTATTGTGACTAATAATGCTGCTCTTTCACTATAAATCTTCGTTTATTGCTCTATTGTATATAAAAATATTTGTTCTGTACTTTCAGGGAATATATTGGGCCAAACACCCTTTAAGATATATGACATTTTAACAATGCTTTATGTCTCCTTAACTCTAGAAACACAAGATAAAGTGTGCCATATGTCCACAGTCTTCTCGTCAATTCTGCATATATATAATCCATCCGTTGTAAGTGAGAGAAGAATGAGAGGCTTTAATAATTATTTTTTCTCACAAAAATAAGTGCTGACTGGTGGATTAAATATATGCCGAATTAAACACTGACTCATAACGCTGTTAATTCACCGTCTACAATTATGTGTGTGTCGGTAATTTAAGGAGTATATTTTGCTGTTACCATAGTAACTGCCTGTATGAAGGTGAAATGTCATTAAGGAATGTGGTTCACGAGGCGCTACACAAACAGCGAAGGTTAGAAAGTTTGATCATCTTCAGTAACTAATGCAACTTCTCAATACATCTGTAGAGTGCTCTCGCCATGGTTTGAATATTCCAGCTCTTCCTCGTTTCTTTTATACGTCACAGGTGCCAAAAACATTAAAAAGACTTCCATAAAGGATACATCTGTGAATCCTCACTCAGCTCCTCCACCGAGCATCCTCTCTCCTCCCTCCTTTCTTCTCCCATGTACAATTTAGGAATTGAAATGTCCTTCAAGATTCAACATGTAGAACAATTAAGACAGTTTAGATATACAACAAGTAGCCGTTACTGGCATAACCGATTGACTCCATAATTATTATGTCTTATTCACCACCACCAGACAAAAACTTCACTCAATTCACTTGAACATGTAGTTCAGATATGTGAACCCACAAGATACAAATAATTGATTTGGGGGAACTGAAATGCTGATCCCAAAGAGACTAATAAGAGGGCAGTGTCAGACTGGATAAAAGACTTGTTGTTAAATGTCCATTCAGTGTAAATGTTAGGTTACATCTGCTTTATTACTAGTTCAGATATAGTTGCTTCCATTTAAAAGGTCGAGTTTAGGCAGGAGAGCTACGAAATGACCAAAGAGGAGTGCTATAATACTTAATGAAGATAAAAGACTAAAATGTATCTGGGGAATTTGGACTTATACCGCCTTCCCTGTGAGTACAGTGTTTGGCACCGTATACAGGCTCACTGGCAGAGCAATAGACCTGTTGTAACATTCCCACAGTCTGAAAGTGGACCGCTCAGTTGACATTCATTACATGATACGGCAACCTTTTTCAGTTTGAAACTTATCGTGTTATCTTTCAGGCTTGTTGAAAAAGCTGCACTTTAAACTGCAGTAACATGTATTTGTGTCGCTTCAGTAGGTTACTGTATATTTGTGGCTGTGGGAAGGAGAGAGTCCAGCTGGAGAGACATAAGGCTAGCAGCATGAACTATGGATCAGTGTGCCAGAGAGGAAGTTCAATAGATGTCTCAAACATACACATACAAGAAATCTCACCGGTGTTTTCTGTTCTCTCTGATGCATATTTATCACGATGTGATTTTGCCACAAAAAAAACGCTGCATCAACACAACGTTGATTAAACATGAATAAGTTATGGTTCACAGTATTTCGTTCTGAATGGCTGATAAATATACTTAGGTCTTTTATTAGTGAATAGCACTTAAGGGATATCAGGGTATTGTAAAATTGTGAATTCAGTTTAATTAAGTCTTATCTTAAAGGGAGCTGGTCATTGTCAGTATGATATTATCCATATGTGGCTTAAACCACATCACCTCATTCAGTTACACTGTTTTTTTTACTGTTATGTTTTAAAAAAAATGTTTTTAGCTTTTTACATGCTTCTTGGACAGGTTGATTTTATCATTACTTCATTAGGCTACATTATGCACTTGGTCTTTTCAACTTAATTTGATTTTTAAATGCTTTTTTAGCTTTAAAGAAAATAACTTTCAAGAAAATTGTAAGGAAACTATTTGGAAAAAAACAATTAAGCTAAATTATGTCTCATATAAAACATATGAGAATGTATATAGCTCTAGCTATAATTGTTATTCATTAATATAATCACCTTAAATATAACCAGTTTGATCTTTGAGTTGGCTTTTGGCTTGTTAGACCTTCTCCTTTGATTCTGTTAACTTTATTCTGACAACACATGCCAATATCCAATAGCATTTGCATGTGCATAACTACACTCCTAAATTCATTATAATTTACATAAGTCTCATCATGTTCTGCATGTAGGAGGATAAAAACCTAAAGAATTAAAGTGTTACAGCTCTTTAAGCAGCTTTAAAGTTTCTACTTTGTCAAGCTGAACAACTGGAGCTTAGCAATCAACTTAGGTGCTCCAAAGTCCCTAATAAGGATGCATTTGTCATCCATTGTCCCTTGGATACTACACAGCACATTTCTTTACCAAGTAAGACGAAGCAGTGTTAATGAGACTTGTCTTCCAGGTTGGGTTCCTCACCACCTTCGCCATCCTGCTCCATGAAATCCCCCATGAGGTGAGATTACAGGATTCTTGGATAAATTGTACAGTATAATTTCTAAATTTATAAGCTTTACTGGAAGTTTTCATGTTTACATAGCCGAGAGTACATAGGAAGAATCCCACTGCTACAGCACTTGTAAACTTGCTGAATGTTTAGCCTTTTCTCTGCTGTGTCATCGTCTGCAGGTGGGAGACTTTGCCATTCTGCTGAGGGCTGGGTTTGACCGGTGGAGTGCTGCTCGCATGCAGCTGTCCACAGCACTGGTCGGGGTCCTGGGAGCTTGCTTCGCTCTGTGCGCTCAGTCACCACAAGGCACAGGTAAGATGGGACCGATTCTCAGTATACGTACAATCGTACATTATTGTTAACTGGAGATCATTTGGCAGGTGCCAGAATCAGTCTTTCCTACCATTTCTAGAAAATGCCACTGCCTGGATATTGCCTTTCACCTCTGGAGGCTTCCTCTACATAGCCTTGGTGAATGTGGTGCCTGACCTGCTGGAGGAGTCCAGTTTAAGGTATCTTGGATGTTTTTAAATGCTCATGCTCTTAATGGTGCCCTGTTAAGTGTTTTTATGTTTACATTTGGTGTCACAGTGCTCGTTAAAAGACATTATGTGTCAAAATAGTTCAAATATGTTAAACCCAACATTGTTTACATCCATGTTTACTAGCTTGTGATCTTCTTCTTCACTGCCTTTGTTGGTGCGTTACTAGTACGTGTTGTACCGCCACCAACTGGATCATTTGAATAGCGTGAAACGAACGGCAGGATTTGAATCACACCACCTACATTATTGCACATGTGCATACTTCTGCATGTTTGCTTTACAAACTAAACAGGGACCCAATTGTAAAAACATGGCTCCATAGCACTACTAGTGGGCAAAAAACTCCATAGGTTACCTTTAACCCGTTTTTTTTTTTTTTTTGGAGCTGAAGCACTGTGACAGTGTAAGAAGGCCATTTACTGTAAAACAAAACTTTGGCATATCTTGTGTGAAATGAGTTCCATGATAACAAAATGTCCTTGAATCTGTCTGTAACTGTAACCTTCTGGGTTTTTGTTTTATTTATTTATTTTCAGGCAGTCCCTACTGCAGATCCTGCTCATTTTCTGTGGTGTGGCCGTCATGGCTCTGCTCTCTGCCATTGTTGACTGAACATGGAGGAAACTCCCCTCGTCTCGCCTTACCAAAACACTAAAACGCAGCACTGGAGAGAAATCCTGTTCTCCACCCCCCCCATATCTGGTACCTCTCATTCATGGAAAGTTCATCTTGGTCTTGTTACACTAACAAATATCTGACAGAAGAACAGCACTTTATGGATGGATAACTGAAAGGAAGACCTTCTTGATCTGCTGACTGGACATTTGTGTGGACACTTATTATGTGCCAGGTTTAAAATATTGAGGGAATTCAGAGGGTTTATATAGATATCTGTCGCCAAATTGTCTTAAATTGTTGATCAGACAATCACGTTTTTTTTGCACATACATTTACACAGGTACACCTGATGCACCTGCTCAACAACAACAGGTATTATTGGACCTCTACAAGGACCTTCCTTCTTTAAAATGTATTCAACCATAAATAGTTTAGACATTGTATGTATTGTTACTGTTGTTGCATCTTCTTCTTTCTGATGTAGCTGCTTAATATTTATTGAAAATGAGACGAGCAACATACAGCTTTATTAGATGTGCGTCACCACGCCATCATTTTGTCTTGTTAAGAAATAAGTGCCAAGAAATCAGGATGGTCTGTTACAATAGTGTCTAGTCTAAACCAAATTTGTTCCTCTGTTTGTGTCTTCCTCAACACACTACGGTCTGCACCTTTTTTTTTTTTTGGCACGAGTTGGTGCTTACACAAAACTCTGCCTGAGTAAATAATTGTGAAATTTTCTTAAATGAATTGAAGAAAAAGATGTTTGTTAATGTTCAGTTATGACTTAAACTTCTGGCCAAGACTACAGGGATAAAACTCTGAGAACGTTAACCATGCAGGATTATTCTTATCACTATGTTGTTGATGCACCTCTTGGTGAAAGTTTCCACCCCTGAAGAAATAAATATATATCTATATAAAAAATAAAAAAAAAACACGACTGGCGTTTATTTTCAGCTTCATGACACATAGACCCCACATGCTAGCAGATAAAAAGAAGTTATACGGGCATTATAATGATCTCAGTGGGATTAGGATATCCTGATATTGATCAGTAGACGTGTGTTAAGGTGCTGAGGCGGCGCAGTGTGTTGTACTGACCTTGCCGCACAAAAACCTGTACAACACGAGCATATTTTTACTGCAAAGGGCCTATGCCTAAAATGTCATATGGGAGTGTAGGGAGGAGGGGTATTGATTGTATGTTCACACTTGTCCAATTTCAACACAGTCTGTTTGGCAAGCTTCTGTTGCCATAACGACTCCGCCGCGGGTTGCCTTCCTTAGTCATCAGCCTGTGAGCAGCCTATTGTCTGTGGGAGTCTTCCTCAGTCACAGCACAGAAGGACAACAAACAACCACTATGTACATTGTGGTGGAAGACATTCAGCGGAAAAAGCTGCAAACACACGAGTGACAAATCTTTCATTGATACTCAGAGTTACCATAACTTCATAGTATTTGATTCCTGGAGTCTGATTGATCTTGTGTAGGGCAAATACAACCGTTTGCTGAGGATCGGAATGTCCTCTCAGTTGTTTGTGAGACAACCTTCAATTAAAATGTAGTGAGAAGTTAACTTTTATCAGTGGCCATTCTTAGAGTGAACTTTACTGACTTACTACTCACAAAACCCTGACATTTTTTATCAGCTTTCTAATTTCATGCCTGTGCTGAAGTCGTAGCAAGATGTCATACATGCACCAAAAGTCAAAAGTTATCTCCAACATAAACTCAGACTTTACAATGAAAAAAAAAAAATCATTCATATCCGTGTGCTGATATATGCTGTATGCTGCAACGTGATCATGTGCTATGGAGGAATCGGTTCCAATAAGCTTGCTAACAGATGGTCTTATCATTTCCAGTGGCTGAGTCTCATAAGTGTGAATCCAGTAGAAATGAGGAATTAAAAGTGCACTTGCTTCTGTGCTTCATTAAAACATATTTAATTCTATTTAAATTTGCTTTATTGACATGATTATAAGGTTTACAATCTTGTTATAGCAACTCAGAATATAATAAGATAAAACATATACATAATTATATGTTACACAATATGAATATAGTGTATAGATAAAGCCTACTGTACACAACTATATATCGCCTACACGTTATAAGGCAAAAGAAACTTAGTTACTTTTACTGCCCCTTACTGTTGTATTCAAATGTATTTACTGTTTTATGTCCTTATTTTATTTTTACCATTCTCCTCCTTTAGCTATAGTTTTGTGTTTATAGTTTTATGTTTGTTTTTCACTCTCTATAGCACTTTTTCTTTTACTGACCCATAGGGTCCTCTTGCTAAAGAGGGTGAACTGCTCTCATTGGACCACCGTGTGTAAATTGTAGTGCTAAGAAAGGGTAAATATGTGAGTTTTAATAATCACATGTCATTTTTTCTTAATTCCTACAATAATATTTGATTTTCATTCAGTGAAATGAAATCTGACATTTTACAAATAGGTAATAAGCTGGTGCTCATCTCATATCCATTTGGTGAGCTGGCTAAGTCATCAAATCCACAATAAAAATCACCAGTAATATTAGAAGCACCCTTTTTTCGTTCTGCAGCTGTTCAATAACTCACCTCTCTAGGCAGAACAAATAAATGATTATTGATTTAAAAGATTAACACGAGCACATGATTCAATCCTCCCTCCTCTGCACCTGTGTTTTTACATGTTTACCAAATCCAAAAAGGTGACCATTCAAGCATTACAAATGACCACTCCCCCCCCGCCACCCACAAACACACACTCCTGTCCTCCCCATCCCGCTGCAAACCTGGAGGAGAGAGAGCGCAACTACATCACTGCCCCTGCCTCCCTCCTCACAGCGTTGGTCGCCATCCATCCCCTCTCCTCCTCCTGTACCATAACAGATGGTGGGAACAACATTGCATCCACCGGGTACCACAACAATAGACCGCAGCATCCAGTCCAGACGACGCTGGCCTTGCACCATCATGCTCCTTGTGCAGGACTGCGTGAGGCTTTGAGTGCCGTCGTGATTCATTTCACGCGGTACCGCCACCACCAACCACGGCCACGGAGGAACCTTCTTGCGACTGTTTGGGCTCTCCATCGAGCGGGGGAAGATGGCCGCTATGAAAATATTAACAGGCACGGGGCTCTTCTTGGCGTTTTGTGCGCTGGGGCTGCTCGCCATGGCGATTTGCACCGATTATTGGTACGAGACCGACGCGAGGAGACATCGAGAGAGGTGTAAAAACTATGCCAACAAGCGGAACGACCCGGGGTACATTTACATTTCAAACCACAACCTCCCCCTCCAGATGCCTCCAAAGAGCCTGGAGAGGAAAGGTAACAACGGCCCAGATGCTGCTGCTCTCATCAGGGGGAAGCGGCACTTTCTGGCCGCAGCGTCCGCCATGGAGTCTCATTGCAGTCGGCAGTTTAACTCCACCATCTCCGGGCTTTGGAGGAAGTGTCACCGGGAAGGCTTCGACCTGGAGACCGAGGACCTTATTTACAAAGGTAAACAGTCTGGAGGCTGCCTTTTTCCCGTGTGCACTAAGCCGTGAGGCTCAGCGATGAGCTCACACCTAGCCCCGACACAAACACAGGATGGTACCGAGGCCCACACTCCTCCTCATCCTCCTCCTCCTCATATTCATGTGTGTCTGCGTTTTGTTACATTTTAATGTTATAAAACTAGATATTTATTGGGTTGTTCGGTAGAAGCTCTCGTTTCTTTAATGGTGAATTTCGCTGTCCATGGTGCTGAGTGAACCCTCCTCTGGTTGAGTCCCTCTCTGAGAGATAATGGCCGGTCTCCTGCATCTATAAGAGATTAAATAACGTCTTGTAAAGGTTAATGTCATTTAAAAAAAGAAGAAGAAGGGTTTCATGCTGCAAAAGAAGCTGGATCATTGGTTAAATTGTTAGAATTTTGAGCCACAGCCGAGAAACACATTGTATAGATCTCCTCATTGAACAACAATGAGAAGCTGTATTTCAGGCCTCACTCATTTATGCATTAGCCTACCCAGTCCAGAACAAGGTCCTAAACCTGATCAGATCCACAAAGAGGGGAACCTCCCTGTGTAGAAAACATGGGGGGTCACAAGTTCTTGAGATTAAATCAGTGAAAGTAGATGAGCCTTCATACATCAGTATACCTAAAAACAGCCCAAATTATACAATATTGACCATTTTATCCTCCAAGCATTGACTCTGAAAAACTACAACATGATTTGAAATCCAACTATGTCAGACCTGCACCCCTTAATCTACTTAGAAATAATAAATAATGCTGCATTTTTGGTGAAATCTGCAATTTATGGTTCATTTAAAACATTAAATAAAATGAATAACATGAGATAGGGCTCCGGGTTAAAATCATCTACACTATAACACTTTAAGTTCTGCTTTTTAATGTGTATAAAATCAGATTATAACCACACACACAGTGTATGCAATGGCAACACAGTAATGTTTTTGTTTAACTGACTGTACCTCTCGGTCCTACAGGGTTAGATTTGGCATGGACACATTACTCTGATGCAATACCTCTGCAACACATACTACCTTTATGAAGGCTGTTATCTTTTTGTTGTGTTTGTTGACATTGTCTGGGAAGGGTGTTGATTTACTCATTTGGTCATTTTGAAGCTGTGATGTTATTTAACTGGATTGCATACAGACTAAAACATAAAAATATATTACAGGCTTCATGAGTGTCATATCTGTTGAGTAATACAGTATTTGATATTATGTCCACACCTTATACTCAATATGTTCATGTTGAACTACTCAAAAATAATTGTGGTCACATGACTACGATTTCTTAAACTTGCTACTACTAGTTCCTGCACCTCTGGTTTATTCAACATACTGAGCTCCAAGCAGCCAGAATGGAGGTACAGGTTAAGATCTGGCTCAAACTCAAGGAAATGGATCTATTTTCTGGTAGCCACTGAAGTAAAGACTGTATCTAATCTCCTGAACACATGATATTTATCAATTTAAGATCATATGTATTCCTTTTCAATAATTATGTTTAGGGATAATATTGGCGTTGATATGTTTACAATTTGATATCATATATTAACACTGTTATCACATATTATTTATAATCTGCCACAGGGGTTAAAGGGCACAACACATAACTAATAAATGTGTTGTAGAAGTTTAAGACAAACAAAAAAAAACAGCTTTCCTCTGTCATAGAAGATACATTTGCATAACACACGAACTGGTACACCTGTTAAAACACACATAAATTGAACAACATAATATTTTTTTCTGATAAAAATAGCTCCAGAACTATAATGATGCATCCTAGTTGTAATCATGCTCATCAGTTTGAAAGGTGAAGGGTGAAGTTTTAACACGTAAGAGAGATTTCAGATGTCAACAACCAGGCAGTTTTTGTGGGATTCGTTACTTTTCACAGGCAAAATAATAGTTAGTACACATCCTTACAAAACTGTGTTCAGAAAGTAACCTAATTACTGCTAATTGTGAACTTTGATAGTGCACAGATATAAAGGTTTCTGAAGCTCGATGATCACAGTGTTGTGACAGCAGCGATGTCAGGAAAATAATCGTTTCTGTGTTGAACAAATTTTGCTTGTGTATACTCAAGCTCATATATCGTGTTAAATTAACACTCTGAACTATACACAAATGTGTGTGAGTGTTGATCTTTGATTGTTCATAATGCTGGTGAAGTTTGGACTTTAATTCTAGCAGTCAGTTTAACACTTAAAGGCCTTTCACGCCCACACAGGTGTTTTCAATCATCTTGGCTAATAAGACTGCCACTCTGTATAAAGGTGAACGCTGGGAATTACATGAAGTCACCAAACTCAATGTACCAATAAGAATTATAAAGCTGTAGGAACAACACATCTGTGCTTGATTGACATCTCCCTGACTCTCCAGGCAGATGTCAATCAAGCACAGTTCTGAGAAGATATCTAATCAGGCAAAATAATCAAATTCTCCTGTGTGGATTCGGTGTGCAGGACATTTAAAGTTTTACTAGGTAGCCACAATTTTGTCAGTTAAAACACAGTTTCTTATGAAAGTGGAAGTTATGTTTTCCTTCACGTGAGATGTAAAGTTGTGCTTCTTTCTGCTTGCCTTGCATCTTGGTATCGGAAGCTAAAGTCTTAATAAAAACAGTGATGCTTTTTAGATGTGATATACTGATGCCGTGTTAACAGTAAAAGTTATGTTTCACACATCTGTGTAATGTGTGAGTTTTAGATGTACAACAAAATACTACAAATGCCTTAACCAGGTAGCAAGCTGTGATTTGGTTTATACATACCACATCTTTCCATCTGGAAAACATTAGATATTTGGACTAAAATGCCACTTTGATATAGGGACATCTTTCTTCAAAAGGTGCCTCTATAAAGAACATTCAAATCAAGAAGATCACTAACTCTGATTCTCAAAAGGAAAGAGTCAAAATCATTTTAACCAAGTTTGACAAAAGTTATGGGAATTGTGTATAATTGTATTGAACTCCCATTACGAAAAGAAGGCTGTGTTTCTAACCTGTGCAAAGTACGCATATGCAAAGTGCTGTAGAAATAACCTTGTTCTTCCATAAGATGTGACATTAAGGGATGATTTGTTGCTGTATGTCTTTACATATCAAGTAGGAGCTGGACTCCATTATTTGTTGTGTTTCAAACGTCTTAAAGTTCAGAATTCACCGGACTGTGAATGCTTATTTTGAATGCAATTTATTGCACTGACCATCAAGTCAATGTGAAGAGATTCACTTAAAATGGGAGCAATTAAGGTTCTTTATGCAGCCGTCAGTAGAATTATACCATATTCCATATTGTTTCCTATTCCCCCTTAATAACAATGTAGGAGTGGTTGGGAACACAAGGTTAATAAGACCATCTCAGTAAATTAAAACTCAGTGAGGGTATAAAATAAATATGAGGCTTTTCTATCATGTATATTATTTCATAATCCCACAAGTGGGGCAGTGGTTCAGAATGAGATTTTTACTTCATTTTCTTTTTTGTCACCTCTCTCTACTTGTGTTAAAGATATTTGTGCTCCAGTTTTAATTGTCTCCATCATTTTCTTTTTGCCAGGAATGATTCAAAGATGTACCCCGGTCAAGTATCACTACTCTTCGTCCATCCTACCACGAAATTTACCCATCAACATCACAAAGACCATACGACAGGATGAGTGGCATGCACTCCGTAAGTCTAAACGTGTTTGTCTGTCTTTGTGGAGTTGTTCGGACTTGATGGGCGTGCCTCAAAGCACAATTCTGGGCCCTGTCTTATTTTCATTGTACATGTTTCTCCTAGGTCACATTTCTTGCTCTACCACAGAGATTCTGAGATATTTTGGAAAGTTTAGGATAAGTCAAAGCAGTTTTTCTGTCTTGATTTGACCATTTCAAAGATATTTATAAAATGCAGTCTTCACAGCCCGGACTAGTGAAGTAAACTCATGTCATTATGTCCCTGCGCTGTCATTCTCTTTAAACCGTTACAAATCTGTCTTTCATCTACAGTTGCAGCAGTCACGTTTTAATCCTAATCTAGCACAAGAGTTAATTTTACCATAATGCTAACCGCTTACTTACTTGTTAAATTCTGAATTGTTATAAGATTTTACTCATCATTTTCAAGGCACAGCTGCCCCTCAGTCCTGAATATATTTCTGACCTTATAAGCCCTATAAGTCTCATGACCAGAGGTTATCAGGCCATCACTATTAGGGAGCCACTGGTTGTAGACTGGCTTATCTGAGGACATTAGGTCAGACAGATCTGTGTCTTCTTTTAAATCTCTCCTTAAAACAGTTGTATTTCTTACATGATATCCTTGTTCAAAGAGAGAGAGCGAGAAGGAGCTGTTTGACCTTTGATTGCATCAGTATTGCTTTGAACATGATATACCAAACCATTATCTAAACTATTAGATTATGTATTATTATATTAGATGTTCTTATTCTTATTTATACATACCTATACTTTATACTCTAGATATCTCTATACTTATTACTGGTCATATAATTAGCATCCATTAGTGTATCCTCTATTGTAGCTTGTCGAGGTGAAGCTTTTAATTACAGGGCTTTTATTTTATTTTATTTTTTTTCCTATGAACTGTTATTTGATACTAACTATAGGCTGAATAGAAACAACTAGTACACTTCTGATTAATTCATTTAATGGTTATCATAATATAGACAGTCTTTTAATAAGTGACCAGTAGGTCAGCTGAATATGCAAACATTTCAGCATTCTAATAAAAAAAAAAAAAGAGATTGAATATTAACTTGGGTTTAACTAGAGATTTTCTTTCAAAGTTGCTCCTATTTCCTCGTATTTTCACTTACCAGTTACAGTATGGACACGTCATGAAATTAGAATAATATTTATTACTTTTTGGTTATTTGTTGATTTGTTGGATCACACTTTTTCTGATTGACAATACAGTTAAAATAATAATACAATCATTTTCAAATTACCTAGTTGATCGAAAACATTGATTGTTGTCAATTGAATGATTGCCTTTATTTAAAGTAAAGTAAAGACAGTATTTTTTATTTTCCTCTAAGTGTTTTAAGCATACTGTGATCATTAATTACCAGTTTAAACAACAGTCTTCATTTTCACTGTTAACTTGGTGACGTTTTCACCTCTGTTTGCAGATTTAAGGAGAATGACGGCTGGCTTTGTGGGCATGGCCGTGTCCATCATCCTTTTTGGCTGGATCATCGGAGTGCTGGGATGCTGCCAGCAGCATGACCTCATGCAATATGTAGCTGGGCTACTCTTTCTCATGGGAGGTACTGTGAGAGCACATATGTCCCCATCCACACACTTACAACAAAATCCAATTTTATTCCATTTCCATATTTATTTGGTGACAGCTGAAAGCATATTTGGGTTAACATGTGATAGTAGATCAATGTCCTGCAGTAACACGATTCCTGTCCTGCAGTAAGATGCACAGCACATGTAGGAATTTCATGATCAAACTGGAACCATTTTAAATCACTGCTTGTCTCTTCTGCTCACACAGGAACATGCTGCATCATCTCTTTGTGCACATGTGTGGCAGGAATCAACTTTGAGTTATCCCGCTACCCCCGCTACATGTACGGCCTCCCTGAGGACATTAGCCATGGCTATGGCTGGTCCATGTTTTGTGCCTGGGGGGGCCTCGGTCTCACATTGCTGGCTGGTTTCCTCTGCACCTTGGCCCCCTCCCTGAGCACACCCGCTCGCACAACAACCCACAAGCCGAGGCAGGAGAATGGAACCGTGTGACAGAGGCGTCGTGAAGCGACTGACCCAGTGGATGCACAAACCACACCCTTCCTTGATGTTTAACTCTGAAAAAGTTTTTGTCTAATCACCATCACACACCACCCTCGACATCTCCATCCCCTTTCAGTGTTCAGTGTGCCTGAGAAGGAGCAAAGTAATGACAAACTTCACACACCTAATCTCGAAAATCCCTGAGGGACCTCCAGGAACACCAAGAGTAAACCCACAGTATGTCTGGGGCATGGCTCTCATAGCACAAATAAGACATTTTTTTTGGTTCAGATGTTTGACATGCTGACTTTATGGCGATTTTTGGTGACTGTTTTCTCTGAAGAGAATTTGTCTTAAAATGGTGCTCTCCTAAATACATAAAGCCACAAAACACTCCCACACAGCACAGACACACACACCAGCACATGCTTTCCCACACACGCTCGATTACTCCGGATGAATCATGGGAGAAATCCTCCAAAAGGAGCAAACATCAAGTCAGAGCATCACGTCAGCATTCCTCTTTCAGTCGAGTGATGTGTGCTGTGTTATTGTTCGTAATGAAAAAAAAAAAAATATCTGGCGTTGACTGCCCATTGCTTATCTTTAGTGTAGCACACTAACTGATATCAAACATGAGCCCCGGGGTAACGTCTGCAGCCTCTGCAGAGCACAAAATGCATCTAGCAGTGTGGTCAGTACGATAAAATACACAGAAGTAAATTTGCATCGAAAAAGCAAATTGTTTGATGCTTCTTTAAAGATTCTGTATGTACAAATGCGTCTCTATGTAGATCCAAATCATTGTTTGTGTAAAGTAGATTTTGAATAAGAATGTTTGTTTTCTGTTTGTTTAGAGGTAATGGTGGCTGACAGTATGGAGTGGATAAAGATTTACAGGATGGTGCTGGGAGCATAAATCCATTACTGGATTCAGCAACATATAAAGGTATTTTGTGGTACCAAACTGACAGACCCAACCCGGTTGTCATAACCTAACAAGAAACCAAACTGTGGAGGAAGTATTTGATTGCTTCATTGTTTACCCTCAATATCGGTCAGCCTTTTTGCGTAATTTTTGCGCAAGCAAATTAAGCAATTTAAGCAAAACAAATTTCAGTGAGCCTGCTGAACACAAAAGCACAAGCTGCCTTCCAAATCTTCACCTAATACAGTAACATAGTGACATTACACATTGTTAGAGGGCAATCATGTCTTGACTAAAATCTGGCTCCTTAACAGCTGAAACAATGAAATACGCAGAATATGGATGATAATTTACGTAAAGGACATCATAGTCCCACAATGCAGTTCACAATGGAAATGGAGGAGCTGTTCTCCCTGATAATTATTCCTAAAATATATGAACATGGGTGCAGTGGCAAAACAAAGCCAAAAATAAAAACTAAACAAATGTAGTAATAAATGCATAACACATGATTGATTTTAAAGTTTCAGATTGAAAGTTACATTGTGGAACACATCTTGTATCGATAAATAAAATACTAATTTGTTGTTTTCTGACTTACAAAATGGTACATCGTATATTATGTAGTATGCAATAGCAACGTGGGAATGATTCCATTTTTCATTAGTCACCTTTGTGATTTAATCATTGGATTAAAAAAAAACTCTGGTGTTGAAAAAAGCACAAATAGTAATTTATAAAGGCTCTAGACTGCAGAGATGTATGTTAAAAGCCGTATTCCAAATACACGCTGTACGCTCATATTGTGTTTTAATCTTGATGCATTCACACATGGAAAATTACAAAATGAAATATACTCCATACTACAGTACTTACATTAAAATGCATTGCATTAAAACAAAAAAAAAGAAAAAAAGAAAACTGAAGAAGAAATAAAGTAATAAATTATTTGAATAATGTTTTTGATTTAACATTGGCGTGATAGTTCAAATCAAGGAATGGGAATAGTTGGATTTATGTGACACCTTGAATTGTGTCATTAGTACAAATCAGTAAAATACCATTTCTTTGTACTAAAGTTGTACACATTATACATCAGTATGTAGTATGGGATGGTGCCACGTGAAAGGTTTTGAAAACAGTGTGTTGCAGGTAGGACTTAAGCTTGTTCAATGGAAAAGGAGAAACAATTTTCTTGGTGACACTGATAATAACACAGCAGCCAGTTTTCCGTTACACAAATATAATTGCTTTCCCCAGTCATTACAACTAATTTATTTTAAAATTTCAGCTTACTACAACGTCATGATACGAGAATATAACAGCCATGTGTGATGAAGTTTTTATAAATGTTGATTGGAGGAGATGAGTCATGAGATATTCAGCTATGTCAAATAACTTTCTTAGAAAAAAAAGGTGTTATAATGTGTATTGATAACACTGTGTGTGATGTTCAGTCCTTTCACCATCACCATTAACCTCCTCATGAGGCTACCACTTTTCAGAAGTTGAGGAAATTAACTGAGGCATGATTGAAAACTGTATCTTCAGTGTCTTGTTGAATCTTTGCACTTTGCTGGGTCTCATAAAAGTCTGTGAACCTGAAGTCTGAACAGGTGGAGTTATACATTATATGTTTGCAAGGCCACATATGGGAGCAAAAGATGATCAGAGCATGTAATAAGCACCCTGTTGTGTCTTACAAAGAGTTTGGGTTTATACCATGTTGTGTGTTTAGGGTCTGTCAGTCTAGGCTCTTATTGTGAAAATATTTATGCCAGAAACAAACAAGGACATGCCATAAATATAAAAACATTTATATCTATGGTCATTACACTGAAAATGAGTCAGTGTATTCTCTGATGTCCTGCGACTCACAGAATGCTGTTTGGTGTTTTGGTTTTATAAAGTTTTAATTTCACACCCAAACTGATACGCAGTAATGTAAGTATTACTGTAAGCAGTAATGTATAAGTACATGGTGCAAGTATAATGTGTTGTTAGGACTGAAGCACAATTGCACACGACTCTTACAAGTTTTTTGTGTATTATAGGTGGGAAAATCTGACTTTTCCAGTGCTGATGTGCCACCACTGCACATCTGCAGGACTGTCAAAACAGTATTACAAGCAAAAACTTTAAAGCACATATTTACCCCCCGACATCTCAAACAGTAAATTCCAAGCACGCCAACACATAACAACGTCTGTCTTTCAAAGCTAAGATTTTGTCATTGATTGGATTGAGTTTCAATACAGAAGAACAGTAGCACACAGTAGCAAGATTTACAAAACATTAAGAACAATGTACTTTACAGAACGAATGAGGTCAGCAGAGTGTAACAATGAATTTGAAATTGTTGTAAAAACCCTCTCAAGTGGCAACTTCCTGTGTTTCATGAGGAACTTAGAAATGTACTCTGTGCAATGAGGGATGCCCTGTGAAAACGCCACCGTTTAGAGTGGCACTTGTTTTAGTAGCACAGCTATTATTTTCTACAAGTCATTTTTACTGGTTCAATCCACTGCAGATGTTATGTGGGGACTAAAAAGACATTACAGTCTTGCATGATCTCATTACAGTTAGTTTCTTTCAATATATTAAAACTTGTGTCCATTTTTAATTAATTTATTTTACTGAAATAAAATATGTAATTACTAATGTCTGGTGACCTTCAGTGTTTGTGTTTGTGTCTGAATTCTACAGTTTTGCTCTCCAAAGTTGCTCAGTTGTCTGAGAATCTTTCCCATTAATGTTTTTTTGATTCGAAACATTGAATAAGTGACTATCCGGATCCTGCTGACGAGGCAGCAATGTGTTTTGCACTGTTGTATCTGTAGGCATGAGGTAGTTTATGGAATTGAGACTGAAAAACAGATTTCCAGTCCAACTAAGAGATGAATGTCCAAGAGAGGCGAGACACGATCTTAACAGCAGTGTTGACAGCACCCTCCTCCAACAAGCATGGAGGCGAGGCTTGGCCTTTTGTCACTTAGGACATGGTGCCATCTAGAGGGGGGACTTGATGTTTTGTGTCTTTGCCTTTTTAAGGCTGAGGTGATAAAATCACTGCCACAGGCAAATAATGTAAAAGTAAATGAGAAACAAGAAATAATCCTGTTTTGCATTCATTGTGTGATACAGAATACTAAATAAATGATCAATTATGATATATACTCTTAAAACAGGAGCTGTAATTTAGGCAGCATGTGCAAGATTTTCTCTTAATCCAAACAGCATTTTTGAAACAAGTTTATTCTAAACAGAAAAGTTTTGTCCAGTAAAATAAGAAAAATAACTCCATACATTAAAAGTCAGTATGCGTAAATCTTTAAAACTACTACTCAAACTGCTGCTAGAACATCCAAAATACAAAAGCTTAAACATACATATTTAAACTATAGTGCCGTGATATTATATATAAACACGTAGCTGTATGTTTACTAACTAAACTACAACAGTACACATGTATGACTATAATGACATTACTGCAAACAGTACTACAAAACCTAAGGATATTTGATGATCAAGATGATTATATGAAAGTTATGATATAACATTAGATAACAAGTAGTGCTGCAACTAACAATCATTGTCATTGTTTATTATTCTGCAGATTATTCAACAATCTAAAAGCCAAAGATATTCATTTGACTATCATGTATGACAAAGAAAAGCAGCAGATCCTCAAATTGAAGGAGCTGGAACCAGCGAATGTTTGGCATTTGTTCTTGGGAAGTGAGGATTAATTCATAATTAATTTTATGCTAATTTACTAATGATTGCAAACATACAGTCATGTGGCTTCACTGACAACATGTGACAGTTGGTTGATTCATACACAACAATCAGCTAACAAAACGGTTGGGAATAAAAAAAAAAGGTGAATTTCCTTTTAAACTTGAGGTAAAAGGGATTTGAGCTATATGTTATATCATTTACCTTGTACAGTTTGGTCTGATTAAGTGAAATGTTCAACGCTGCTGCCCAGAGTCAGAAGCAAAAGTGAGCAGTTTGAGAGTCTACTTCTTGCCACGGTAATGGGCACCGACCACCATGTAGCTGTCAGATGAGATGTTCAAACTGGGCGGCTTCGCTTTGTCCCTACAGACCCTGACCTCAGATCTGCTGACCGGTCCTCCTCCTCTGCAGGGGTCGTGTTTCTGCAGGTAACTTATAAAGGTCTCCCAACCTCCGCCTACGCGCACCATCACATGGCGCTCATTCAGCATCTGCAAAGGTGACACAAGACAGCACCAGTCAAGGAGGGAATGCTGGGAAATGAACAGTGCATATATTTTCCGGCTGATATATTGCCAGGATGTTTATGAATTCTCAATTATATGAAAAGCAGTCCCACCCTCTCCCCTCCACACACACACGCGCACACACACACACACCAATCTAATATTTACAAGCTTCTTATGCATGTGTAGCTCTGGCTATGAAAGGGAAATGATCTCTCGGATAGCTTTGTCAAAATCTCATTAAACCAAATGAAACAACACCTCGTGGCACCAGCTGAGCACACATGCAGGACTAATCCACATATGAACATGCATACACACGCACATGCAGTGACGCACAAAGGCACACCCACACAGATCTGCTACACAGAACCACCTAATAAACAGTATTTTACATAAAAAAGATGACTGTATAGCCAGTCTATCTGTTAGCAGTAGTTGCAGAGAGGTCAGCTGTATCTGAATCGACACATCCTTTACAGACAGCCGTCCTTACAGCTGAAAACCAACTGCTGCCATGGCAACGGCAGCCACAATATAAAGCCTGGGAATTAAAAAAAAATGAAAGGAGGAATTGAGATGAGTTGAGCGCAGACCCTCAACTCCCAGTAGACATTAACATTCCCAGGAGGCCTTGCAAAGCCATCCGTTGTCCTGTCAGCAACGGCCCACCCCCTCTTGCCTTATCGCCAATAAACCCTTCATTATGGAGCCATTAAGAATGTGATAATACAAGCAGATCCACTCTTCTTATGTGGGGAGGTGTGTGTGTGTCACGTGTATGGGATGGAAAAAAAATCAATGGTACAAGCACAGACACACGCGCACAGGCAGGCGACACAGACGGCGATAGAGGAAAGCCCAGACGTGGTCCGTCTCAGCTGTCAATCTGCAGATTAAAATGTTGAGGTTGACAGGGGTCAAGTCTGACATCCTGAATAAACCACTCTCCTGCCAGACATGGAGGGAATGTAATTCTGACTGATCTTCATTCTCAAAAAATCTGTCATCATCCAAAGTTGATTTTCAGTCAGTTTTTTATACAAGCTAGAACTTTGTACAAGCTTTTATATGATGTTTTCCTGTTGTTTTTTTTTATCAATCCTGTGTCACTTGATTGCTGGTTATATGGCTTTAAATGTGCTGTGTTTTGCATGCTCAGTTACTTGAATACATAGAGTTACAACATTAACTCATATATGTCTTTTAAATGCACATTTATACTTCCGAACTAACTAAAGCAAGGATGTGTTGTCATTAGCATACCAAACTAATCGTTCAATGAAAAACAGAGTCAGCATCTTTCTGTACTGTAATATTCAACACAAGCCCTCTTTGTCAGACAGACTCCTTTATTTCTGTCTCTACAACTACCCCCTCCCCCCTTCAGGTCTCCGTACAAAGTGTGCTACGTCTGCAGCCCATAACCCACCGGCTGGATTCCCCTGTGTCCTCCCTGGCAGCTACATTGATTCTCTCTCTCTTTCCGTTCCTGCTGAAAGATGCATGAGTGTACTCAGGGAAGAGGAGTCATTTAAACACCCGCCAGTAGGAGGCAGGCTTTAGCCACATCTGCTGCTTTTGATGCTGTTTTTGAGTACAGTCCTTGTAAAAATTTACAGTTAAGAGAAAACACTACAATATACGAGCTGATGGAGGCACATGTGTGTCTGTGTTGAAAAAAAAAGACGATTTTTGAGACTAAATACGACTCCCTGATTAAATTAAAGTAATGCATAACTTAGACTGCTTACACCAAACTAAGATGGTCAAAACGGGAGACATTATGCCTGCTTAGCATCAACATTTTAGCATCATCACTGCCTCCATTAGCATTTTGCTCAGAGCACCACTGTACAGCCTCACATATCTTAGTTTTGTTTATTAACATCACACAGTGTTTCATTTTGACGATTCAAATAACATAGCTTCCTCTATGTTCAACTTACTTACAAACTGATGACATTTGGGAATGATCTTTTCTACTTCTGTATGGTCAAAGGTCAGGGTCACCTAGAGAACAAAGACCCTGGAGCTTCTATGGAGTCAATGTCTCAAGGACACTTGAGAAAGGAGAAAGCTGAAAGGGCTGTCTGCCAAATGCTCTCTTTGGTCCTGATTTTGCTCAGGTAAAACTAGTGTTCAAAACAAAATGGTTTGTGTCTTATGTAGATAGCATGATAAGCAAAGAATTAATGTGGCATGATATTGTGTGGTGTTTGAATGTCTTTTCCTTCCATTGACACAGTCAGACAGTGTCCCTGCTACAAAGCTGAAGGAGAGCCTAATTGGGCACAGAGAAGAAAGAAAAGCCTTCCTCTTTTTTAACACCAAAGAATGGCGGAGCACTCCAGGGCCAGCATGACTGAATAGCCTCCAGAGGGAATAGAGAGGAGAGAGAGGAGAGAGAGGAGGGAGAGGGGGGGGTAGAAAGTTTACATGTGAGGAGGGGCGGTCATGCTCAGCCGCTCATTAACAAGCTGTCTGATTAAACCCCTCACTAATGACTGTGTCTCGGTAATCAATAGTATCTGCTCTTTAAAAAGGTCTGTACACATTGAATGGCACGCTCTCCTAGGAGCTGAACAGGGGTTATCATGGTATATGGTAATTGAGGATTATGGTGCGTTTCCCTGCACACATGTAGGCAGCTGTGAGCTTCAAGGTAATGGATGGAGTCAGGGTTGATGGGCTGCAGCGCTCTATTCACACAGCTGAGGTGTGTTTGCTTGTCAGCGCCAAGGAGAAAAGGAAAGGGAGCAGTGCAAGTAGCGTCTACAAACTAGCAATTATAGGTTGAAACTGACAGATGGACACGGAGTTATGGTGAAACGTTGTATCTGCAAAGCTGTATAGAGAAGGTGAGCACAAAAAGTCAACAGTCGAGATAGTGTAGAAAAACAGATCCTATATCCGATATTTCAATATAAAACAGATTAAAGGTGATTTTTCTCTTTACTTTACATTTAATTTTCTTTACAGAAACACATTCTGCTGACCTGGCCATAAACGAATAACATGCTTTAGTTATCACATCTTTATAGCCTCTCTTTGAAGTGCTGTTCAAACACATCCTCTTGTGTTATTGACAGGTCTGTTGTGAAGAAACAGGTGTTCTCTGTGACTTGAAAGGTAGCATTATTTTCTAAATGGGCAGTAAAAATATGTTGTCTGTCAACCAGTCAAAATGTAGCTGTAACTCTGTTTTAAGCAAACTGTCGCTGGCAGCATTGATTACCAGTTTTCAGAGTGTTGGGTCAATACAATTACCAGAGCCTTAAATGGGTTTCAACTAGTGACCAATTAGCCACCAAAGCTGTGATACACCTCTGTGTTTAATGTAGAAGATAACGCTGCAAGATCAGATCCTGTCTGTCTGTCTGTTTGAAGAACAATTTCAGGAAACCATTTTAGCTCTAATCCTTAAGATATTCCCAATGATATGGTGTTGGAAAATTGATTTTAAATTTACAGCATGTACAATTCATGGATTCATGAATAATGCATTCCTTAGACAATATACTTCAGGCAGTGGGCACTGAACATACACTGAAGCTGTTGTTCTATTTGTATGGATTCATGGCTGTATAGAGATAGTGAAGTGAAACCTTCATCTTATATTCAAAACCCTCTCCACATATGTGGACTTGAACTCCCCAGTGGGCTGCCATTTGAACCGCACACCACGGTCATATCTTTCTCAAAATCATCCTGAAAGAGACGTGTTTGTTTTTCCTTCGGGTTTGAACTCTTTGCTGAAGGTCTATGTGCTGAATAAAATCATTGTCAGCCTAGTCTTATCCTGACCATTGGTTGCCAAGCAACCCTGCCTCCCAGAAGGCCATTCCTCGAGCCTTTGTACAGGCGCATATGGGTGGTGCACGACTCCAGGAGGCTGAAAGGCACCTACGTCTCCATCCCAAATGATTGCAAATCAGTTGTTCTGACACGCTGCACTTGTTGCTGACTCAGCTGTTGATTAATAACCTGAAAGCCTTCGCACCTCACATCTTATTATGTGCTGTAGCATTTATGACTCATCTTTATTGGGTGAGCCATTAGATTTGGCTCATAATTTACACTTTATGGTATCAAAGTATCAAGTTATAATTAAACCGATAAGCTTTATTTTATAAAACCCACATATGAGAAATATTATCATCATACTAGTGGAGGAAAAATACATTTATACACTCATTTATTTTGCCTGACATGTTTTGTTGTGAAACATTGTTGCTGCCTGGATTATGTTCAGGGTATATTTATTATTTACATGGATTTACATATATTTTTGCATACAGGGTGGATGGTGGACATACAAAATGCAGGACTTTGACACAGGAGAATGTGGTTCACACCCTGAGTCTTGGTCAAATTTAGGAAAGGATTGTGGGGTTTTCTTTGTAAATTTCAATGAAATAAACACTTCCTGTCTCAGTTTCCCTTATTCTAAGGAAATGAAAACACAACAATTCATACATTCAGATGATTATACACTAATGAAAACATACCTATAAATATTATATTTTAGGTTACACACTGGACCTTTAAATATGTTGTCAGTGAACATTTTGCAGATACACCCCGAATTGAGATCTTGTGACTTGGGAGTTATGTTCATTAAGCTTTCCTTATTATGTTGATTAAAATGTACGCAATGGTCGGAACATGCTTACCCTTATATACAGAACTTTATCCCCAACGCGGTAGCAGCCTTTAGGTTGTTTCTCGACGAGGAACCTGGTGGGGCAGCTGCAGGGGGGATTTTCAATAATGTTTCTCACCTGGAACAAGTTAGACAGAGAGAGGGCAAAGTAAATACAAACAGTTTACACCTTTAACATGTGTAAGCTGAAATAAGATTCATTTAACTGGAAATAAAATACTCACAATATCATCCAAAATGTCGGTGGTGCCTCTGCTCCTCCGGCTTGTGGATTTGCTAGAGGAACGAGGAGTCGAGGCTACAGGTGGGGAGGTGATGGGAGGTGTAGCTGTGGGAGTGTGGTTGTTTATTGTGGTACATGAGACTCTGGCAGGGGATACCAGGGTTCGGCCTGGTGAGGGTGCCGACAGTGGAGTTGAGGCAGATGTGTTAGTGGTGCAGGATGAAGAGAACAAAGGTGTTTGTGTTGAGGCTGTGGTTGTACAAGGGTTAGAGGCTGAGAGGGACGACTGAGGAGGGGATAAACATGTAGGTACTGGGTTTGTTGTGGCTGATGGAAGATCAGAGGCGAGGGAGGCGGCAAGGGTTTCAGACAGACAGGTTGTGCTTGGAGTGAGGGGCACGGGTGGAGGAGGAGGAGAAGGAGGAGGAGAGGGGGCTGGGGGCAGGGAAGATTGTGATGGCGAATACAATGATGTAGGAGGAAAAAAGGAGAGACAGGATGATGGAGATAAGCACCCTGCCTCCTCCCTCTCTATCTCTCTCTCTAACTTCACCAGCCCTGGAGGCTCCACTCCATACCTGAAAGAGAGGTTCAACAAAATATATCAGCAACCGTACAGGATGAATCAACACTAAATCACACAGTAAAGGATAGTGATTCACAAGCAGGGGTATTTGAACCTCAGGGGATACTTCTGCAGTTACCAGGGGACAAGATTTTGAAATAGCTCAACTAATTTGAAAAATCAACAATTAGGGCCTTCTATTTATACTATTATTTTATTACTGTTTACATGTTGAGTCATTTATAACGTGACACCAAGTATAGTTCATATAGTTAATTAAAAGTAGCCTAATAAATACATGATTGAAGTAGATAGATAAACAGTTGAAATAGATAGCTAGATAGATAATGCATAGACTGAAATAGCTGAAAGTAACTGATACATTTAAAATAGTAAGCTAATGGTAATTGCTAAATGCTTGAAACATTCAGAAGCAACATGACCAAATAACGTAAACATTGACTGTTCATTGTATAAAAAAATACTGTAACAAAAAACTTTTATGTAATTAACAGTGAGTGGTGTCAATGAAAGGTTGCTTTTCCACTGCTCTTAAGAAAATCATCAAGAGTTTTCAGCTCAGTGTGATTCAATTGTGATTATCGTTTCAGGAGCTGTACCAGGGGTGGGGCAGTTGTATTTGTTTCTAGTTACCTGGCTGCAATCCGTCCCAGCTCCATCAGACACAGGCACACCTCCCGAGGTTGCTTGTGCAGGACTTCACACAGCACACGCACAAGGGGACAAACAAAGACGGCGGAGGGGTGGAAATGAAAAAAAAAAAGAAAGTCAATCATCTGAAAGGAAAGATGTTTCCGGAGATAAACTTTTGTCTGTGTCAAAAGAAAACCGGAGATTTCAGGAGGTACTCTGTTTCTATTGTGCATCTCTATCTTTGAAGCAGGAATTCCTGTGGGCTCTGGATGTGCAGCTGGGGGCATAAGGGCATGAAATCTTCATGAAAAAGTCAGCCTCTTCCTTCCAGTACACAGTCTATACGTTAAATAAAGGGGCTCTGTGCACTCAGTATGGACCAGAAGTTAGTTCATTTGCTAAGATAACAATTGGTTGAGCATGCACAACTTCATGTACAACTACAGAACAAAAAAGAAAAATGTAATGAGCAGAGAGAAAAGTCACTGTCAATAATGGTATTTTATTTTCATTCACCTGTATTTGAGATCCACCATTACATCATGGCTGCAGCAAGAAAAGGAGATGAGAGAAAAGAAAAAGAATAATCATCTGTGCCTTCATGTCACTGAGGCAGTAAACTGAAGTCTGTCAAAGTATAAGTTCACTCTCCCCATCACTCAATTAGTCAAGTGAAGTAGGTTAGTCTGCCTGCAGGGGGGGGCTTATTGTTGGTGGGGATTAACCTGCACATTATCATTTGCACGCATCTGCCTGCCTTGCATAGACATGCCCGAGTAAGAAGTGCATAGAGAAGAGTATGTTTAATGATACAGAACCATTTTAGTATGTTGACTGCAAGCTGTCTTCTCCTCTGGCACACAGAGCACCATACATGCAGAAGGTGTAAGTGAGAAATTATACATTGATTCAGTCACATTCAGCGTGATCGTTATGACTCATCTTGAAATCTTAATTTTCTGTATTCCCATTTTCTTCTGGCTGGTTTATTTTAATGATTATTGCTTTCAGTTAAAGAATAACATTTTAATTTTCATTAACACCACATTTAAATTTTAGATTGAAGTAAAATTGTCCAGGAATGATACCGCACATCTCATACCCAAGTTAAATTCCCCCTGCTCTAAATTCTTCATTTGCTTCTCTTTTTAAAAGCATTGAGTTATTTAAGTATTACAGGTTAAGACATTGTAAATCACCAAAAATATCTATTAAACAGAAAGTAAAACAACAGCACAGAAATAATATAATTTAAAACTAATTGCAAGTAAATGTGTTATTTTATTTTTTATAAATAAGATAGTAGATGTAGTAGATGTAATGTATTTGGATAAATGAGACATGTTATGAGTGTATCATATATATATAGACCTAGAGATTGAGGAGAAATGGAAAGACTGAAGTAGAAGTTCTATAACTATGTGTTGTTGTAGCACAACAAATAGACTGATGCCAGATACACACAAATACAAAAGTCTAGAAAGAGTTGTTTTTTTATTATGTCTGAAATGTCTCAATGAGGTCAAAGTCTAAATATTTTAGTTTAATCACCGACATACCACAAGTGAAGCGTGACATGATTCACTTGAGGCCTTTATTGGTAAACGGAAAGAAAAACTCCATGATGTTGGGCTAAATCTCTGATTTAACTCACCCAAATCCTCTGACTCAAACAGGTAAGCCTCATCAACGCCAATCTTTCGACACCAGTAGAGGAAGTTGGCAGTGTTGTCTCGGGCGAAAAATGATCCAGATGTTGCATCAGCTCGCCAGTGGATCACTCTTCTCGTGAACGGCTGTAATTGTTTTCAACACACATACACAAACACACAAATATATGTGCACAGACACACACAGAGGAAATGAGTTTGCATTAGAAACATGTTTTCTGCAAAAACACAATAATTGATTAATATTGGGTCATGCATTACAGTCTTTACAGTGCTTTAATGACAAACAATTATGCACATGCCATCTTTAATATTGCAGCTTGTTTAAATATGAATACAGTGAAAGCTACAGGTGAGGAGACAGAGGAGGCTTCCTCTTGCTCAGCCCTTCTACCAAATATGTGTCTATATGTGTCTATGAAGGAAAGATCAGGAACACCATCTTGTGCAAGGTGATGCTGAGTAATAGTTAACATGAACAGACATGGACGACTATTGTCTCTGTGTCCATCCACAGGCTTAAACATAACTGTAACAGCATATAACTGAGCCGAAAAAGGTGTTTTTAAAACCCTATAAGTCTAAAAAACTGACATCCTCATCATGACTTGAACTACTTTGTAGAGTCGTAAGTTCACCATTTCTTTTGGTGGAATAAAAGTATGTGCGTGGTGCGGTTTTCTGTTTTTCTGATTGCATCTTTGTGTGTGTGAAAGTGCACATGACTTGCAGCACCTTGCCATTGTTGGTGTGGATCATTTTCTCCTGCAGCAGCTGTGCCAGCTGACAGAGGATAACGCCATTATCCAACCTCTCCATCAGACCATCTGCTGTGAGGTCCACACCTGAGGATCCACACACAAACATTGAATTATTTACAGTAATAATTCATAGTTTCTACTCAAGGCTCAATGTTTTTCTTGTTGCCAATTGTCACAGAAAGACAAGACTTTATATAACTTGAGTGCACACTACCTAAAATATGTAATATTTATATGTGTATATATATATATGTATTTAAATACATATCAGCGCAAATGCATCAAAAATATGTTGTACTTCTTTCAGAAAGATAAAACACTGTCCACTACAGTTTTTAGTAGGCGGGATCTTCTAAACTTGAGGAAAGACAGAAGAAATATAAAACAAAAAGTAGGTGAAAATGCAAATGAGCTGAAAAATAATTAGCCTTATTACTGTATTTATTTGTCCAATGGCAACACCTTGGTTGATGAACTGGTAAACCCTCCTAAATACACATATAATCTACAGGCATATTGCAGTGTTCACAAATATGTTACAATATAATCCTGTTGTATAGGAAAGTTTAATATCACGAGAAAGACAATTGTTTACTGTTTAAATTTTGTCCTGGTTTATGGATTTACAAAATACCAAAAGTATGACTTTAACATATCAGTCCAAACACATTTTCATTTTTTGTAGCAGCAGCAGTCAGAAACTCATCCTGTTGAAGTCTTGTCATCTTCCAGACACCCTCCAACAGGTTGTGACATGTGCAGACCCTTTATGTTTTCCCCCACAATGCAGTAAAGTGGGATGAAACATCCCTTTCCCTGGAGTCCCAGCCACAGCTCCCCTCTCTAAGTAGGTTAATGCCTTTGTGTTTAATGTGACTGCAGCCTTTTTACCTTTTCTTCAAAGTAAAAGCCCCAATTCCAAACTCACGGGTCATTCATCAGATCTTGTTAATATTCATTAAATTAAGTTTTGAACTGACATTATCTCTTTTAATTCAGCCCAAAACACCAGTGGGTGTTTGTGAAAGAAAAATCATGTTTCCATTTCAGTTTTACAGACTTTTACAATAAAGTAACTTCCTGAATTTGTAGTGTAGTTAACATGAGTGTGGCATGAGGATCAATGGAGGAAAATTGTCTCACCCAAGAGTGTGTTGAGCCAGAAGGCCAGGTCTTCTTTCATGGGCAGCAGGCTGGCATCATGGCGGTAAGGCAGCCACTGGTTGTACTCCTGAGGACTGGTGAGGCCAGGCCCAGAGTGTCTGTTCTTTTGTCCAAAAAGACAGTTCATCCCCAAACCAGTTAGGTGTCTCGGGCTCAGGGGACTGTCAAGGCTGGTGTTCATCGTTCCCACTTCACTGTCCATGCTTCAGCTCCAATCGGTCTTTGACTGACCCTGGTGGACCAAGTAACAGGTAAGGTTTTGATTTTGACATCTTATATTAGTCTGAGCCTTGTTCAGGACTGTCTCATCCACTGTGTGGGAGACAGTTCCAGATGGCTCCATAGAAAAGCTAATTGAAGCACCAGAGGTACATTTGCCAAAACAAATAATTAGTCTTCACGTTGAAGTCTTTTTCTAGTAAAACTGAAAAGAAAAGACTGAAAATACTTCAGATAAAGTACGATGCCACACTAAAAAAACTTAAACAAGCGACACAAAGGCTTATCACATGTATTTCTATTCAAGCATGAACACTAACTGGTTGGTTTGACAAATGTATAACTGGTTAACCACCAACATACTGTGTTACTGAGGATCAGTGCTAATCAGTGTTACTGATGTGTAAACCAATGTTAGAGAAATGTAATCCTACAGCAGTAGTAGCTATTTTCCAAAGTAATTTTAGTGCAAAATTCCCTCTTTCTGTTTCAGACATGTTGCTTTGTTGAGATGTAATGGAGGATTATCATAATTCCGCACTAAAAACACTCAACAGTCTGACTGTTGAAGCTTCATACTATTTGGCAAAATGTTTGGGCGTGCCAGTGTTGTTAGACTTGAAAAAATGTGAAGCTATCCTTTAAGAAAGCAATAAATAATTAAAACATAATTGGTTTCTTAGAATAATAATGGTGAGTTCTGCAAACACAGAGCTGTCCTGCACATGTACAAAAGCAACAGTACAAGTTGAAACCACACTGGCTTCCATGCATAGACCTTATACACACAACCAAACAATATAATCATTAATCAAAGGGATTAAACAGACTGACTGGAGGTTTAATAAGATGTACAGCTACAGCCCTGAGCCAGTCTCTTGGTTCCGCTACATGGCTCATTTGCCTTGTTCCCAGAGCAGCCTCCATCATAAAGCTCAGCCCCATGCAGAGACATGCTCTGACTGCCAGTAATACTCACTGCTAATCAGCTCGAATTAAGACAACAACGCATGGAGTGGGTCACTGGGTCTGCTGGGTAATATACAGTAGAGACAGAGGCTTGGTTTGTGCCAGATGACTGACTTTAAAGTTTAATTGTAAAGTAACAAGAGTAAGCGGGCATTCAGACAGAGAACAGTCCTGCTTAAAAACAATGCAAGGGCCTGCGTTGGCGATGGCGTGTTGTTTAAGGTACCGGTGAGACATGAAATACAATCTAGGAAGACCAGTCTGAATAACAGTCTCCTTGTATTCAGATGCACAGAATACTAGGGGAAGTTATCAATGGCGACAATATATCGTATCCTTTGTTGCGACAACATAGCATGCTTATGTCTAGAGAGTATATTGTTGTTCAGCATCTTAGTTTAGTATATAAGCATTCTAACATTTACTAATTAGCACTGAACGATATGTACAGCTGATGAGAATGTAATTAGTTTTGTGGTCAAAACCAAAGTATAGGACAAATTCACATTTTGACCTCATGATGGCGCTAGATGAAGAGATCACCAAAACTACTATAATTCATGCTGAGGGGAACAAGAGTCAAATTTAAGGAAATCAGAAGTTGTTAAGATATTTCTGTCTGGACCAAAGTGGTGGACCAAATCACAGACACACAGACTCTACTATGGCTAATAAAAACCTCATCTCATCTAACAAAGACTTTATCTTTAGTAGAATAGTCAACAAGCACATCACATCTGGAGGGCAGATGTTTGGGTCCCAGACAGGCAGCATCGCAGCCGTTCATTTCTAGTTGTATACCACCTGTGTTTCTGCACTAAAGTACCTGTGGCTCGGTGTTGCAGCTCATCATTAGTGTAGTTTGTCGTGAAGTTGCCTTACGTCAGCAAAAACTTCAGAAAAAAAGATGACAAATCCCTCGCACAAGATTACAGAGGATGTAGGGCAAAGCCTTACACACAGTGTGCATGTCAGTGAATTCTGGGCTTAGGCTGTGTGAGACAAATGTGAAGATGTTATAGACATACGTTTCTGACTAGATATAGTGAAAAGGGTCTTTTGTGAACACATCATGTGGACGTGGGACAGCCTGCCAAGTTTGAGGCTGGTTTACAGGTTGACCAGCAGGGCATGAGAGCCTCTGTCTCTATAACAAAACATCCAGGTGCAATATTCACACCTCTGCTACAGGATGGCTCTGCTGGGAAGGGAAGGCAAAGGTCACCTATACTGGCCTAGCTCTCAGACACTAGCAGCCTTTATACTCCTGCACAGCTGAGGGTCCATGTCTGTAAACACACCTCACTCTCTCTCTCGACACACACACACACACATACATACACACACAGGTCCATGCATGTATCAGTGTTTCTATTCCACCTCATTAACTCTGCACAACCTTTAATGTTTCCAAAGTAAGTTCTGCTTCAGTGGTATTTCACAGCCTTTAATTGTGTTCTTCTCAATAAAAGCAAACATCCTCACTGTCTAACCGGCTGTTAGGGGGAAACAGCTAAAATTACACACCAGCCACCCTGAAAAATGTGTGTAAAATGACGGATCTGAGCTGACGCATTGGCTTAAATACCTGTACCTGCACTGTATGTACGTAAGATGACAGAGTGATTGATGATTTAGTGTTGGCCTAACACTGGTGTCTCCAGAGAATGAAACCAAAGCGCCTGTCTGGTAAACAACTAACTTCACAACTAGTTAACAAAATCCTGTTTCCTTACATGACAGGCGCTGCTCTTGTGTTTACTTTGGGGGGGGTTGAAGCAACAAATCTGTCACTGAAAGAATCGTGTCGGGAACATGTGTTTCATGAATTTCAGTATTTGCTGTTTGCTGTTACTCTATAACCTGCAGGCTTGTGCATTGTCCTTTGAATCTTATCAGCATCCACTCTGTTTGAAAAAACTATTCATAAAATATCAAGATTAATAACTTCAAGTGGATGTCCAACAGCACTGCTGGCAGCAGTAGCATCGAGTCAATGATCTGCTGTCTCAGGTCTCAGTGTCAGTAATGTAAAACTAGTGAATGGATATCAGGTATTGAATGAATACAACTGCATAGTTGAGGTATAGGCTTCAGCTATATAGTGGTCTTCTCACCCCATGGCTTTCCTTCAGCTGCTCCTAGACTAAATAAACCTCATATCAACACAGGATGGAAAGGTCCGCTGCCTGCTGCTGTTTACGCACCCTGAACAGTGGAGACTCAGTGTGCTCCAGTGAAGCACAATAAAATACAATTTTGGCACCAAGATTTAAAAAATAATCTCCCATTGATTGTTTTAGTGTTAATGAAATAAAATAAACAACGTTCACATGAACAGTCTGTTCACTGACTGAGTTCTGACTCAACTTTTAGCAAGTGAGGCCTTGAAGTGTCAGACACTATGAACATGTTGGAGGATTCACTTCTGCAGGGATGTAGCCTACTGAGCGCTCATGTTTCAAAACTCACATTCAAACAAGGGGCAGATCTAAAGACATATCTGGTGGCAAGAGGGTGGAATGAAGACAGAAATATATACTGATTTAATCGCAAACAATCACGTATGTCAATATTTGCTTGGAAAAGCCCCAAATAAAGACATTTTAACTCAAAAACATGAGATTATTGAGGCACATTAGTAAAGCATTGAATAGAAATATCTAAAGGTGACATCAGAAAGTCATAATACAAATTTTACTTGCAGCACCTTGCCAAATACATCCATTCATTTAACTTAAGCCTTAGTCTAAAATATGGCCATAAAAGATCATTACATTATGTGCTGATTTCTGTTTTTTAATGTGTTTTCTTTTTATTATTCAATTAAATTTAAATGACAGCAACACTGGGGTAGAGAGGCAATTTTTACCACCCCTCTAGGTACCCCCCGATTCAAACACATTTATTTTTCTGACTACCTGCATGGCAAAGTTTCTTTCTGTTTTAAGAACAGCTTATTCTAGAAAAAATATATATTATACATTTTCACTGTACACACAAACAAACATTTTGAGACCTTTAAATTGTACAATTGGAGAAAAACACAACACATTGAACAAACAAACAATTGTACAATTACATAAAAACACAACTCATTGATGAGAGTTAAATCCCAAAGCAAAATTCGTTATAATAAGTTATTATCCCCGTTTTAAAGAAAAAGGATAATAATATTCTACATTATAACAAACACGTTAAGTGTTTTTTTTTCAAACAACATAACTTTAACTTTGGTAGAAACAGTGAAGTAACCCACATTAATGAAGGAGATTGTAATGATGAATAATCCATGTAATTGCAATTATAACATCACATTCCTAACTGTTACATATAATAAAATCCATAGCAGCTGTATACTTACAAACAGGAACAGGAACGGCAGGATTCTTCAAAAGATTTTCTGTTTCATAAAAGTTTCTTCACGGTATCTTCTCGTCTATATTTCTCCTCTCACACACGCGCACATATCTCTTACAGCCAGATGTTTCCTTCAGGTTCTCCACATGTTGTATAAGGACACAACGATGTAACAAGTGGAGGCTGCCGTCGCTTTTCAAACTAACTCTCCTCTACACGCCTGCAGGTTTGTGGTGTCACCTTACAATGTAGCTGACTGAGGACAAGAAAAAAAACATCTTAGCGGTTGTTGTAGTTTTTTTTTTTCTTTTGATAAAGTTCTGCTTGAAAACTTTATCCAACATATAATAAGAAAACTACGAGTAATAAAACCATTCAAATCCGGCCTAAGTCGAAGTTTACTGATGTGTTTCTTTTTGTAGTTAAATGCTGTGGACAGCAAACACGAAGTAAACTTGGTTTCCGAAGCAAGTGAAACAGTATAAAAACTGCTCATTAATACACTGAATTTACTGTATTCATAAATTACAGTGCAGACTACTCTTGTGCACTGTAATTTATGACTGGATGTGTTTGATGTTGTTTTTGTTGATAATTGTTCAATTAAAATACCATGGTTGATATTATATCAAGTTCTCAGTTATCTGACATTTTATTACTCAAGTTATTTTTCAAATGGGGATGAGGTGCACCTTTAAATTCTAAAAAAAGGGCTTAGAAAGAAGGTAAATTACATTACAAGGATTTTTTATTACTTTTCCATGTAGATTTTATGAAGTCTTGGAATATGTCCACAATATTTACCAGGTTAAAAGAATAAAATAGGAGCATATCAAGCACATTAATTCATTAATTTCAGGGATTATAGAGAGGTGAAGTTCCTCTTCCGGTGTCCCCTATGGGATCTTATTTTGGAAAATATATGTACGGTGGTCAACAGCAAGAGACAATTTTTATCCTATTTGGATTGTGCCATGAATTACACACTACGTTCATCAATTTAAAAGATACTATTGCAATTTACTAGAGCCGCAGTTTGTCGCAGGTTTGACCAACACCAACATGGCTGTCCCTTGTGACTTTATCTTAACTGATGTGTTTTATTCAGCAACTACTGGTCTTTTTATCAGCCAGGAAGTTTGACTGCATGCTGAAACACAGGCATTGTAGCTTCAGCGTGGGAGAGAAAGTCACGATATCGCTAATGTGACTTTTGGGTGTCTTTCAAATTACGAATTTTCAGGTCAACATTTTGACTTTCTCACTTTCTTGACTTGCAAAGTCATCTTTTACATTTACAAACATCGTATCTGTAATTCATGGCACAATCCAAATGAGATCTCATCTTGTTAAGTACCGTACATTATTTTTACACAAAAAGCTCCTTTTCTGGTCCACCTGAAGGGGGCGGACTTTGCTGGCATGCATTGTTGTCTGCTACAGTGTCATTACTATCACTACCACTGGATGGTACCAAAGTGAGACATATAATCATACTGTACATAGTGCTTTTAAAGTCCGAATGAGTAGGATTTCCCTAAACAACAATATATAGACTCTTAATAATAATTCTCTCTGCTCCTCTCAAGCATCACTTATGACCCACTAGAAGTGTCTGTATCTGCAGAGAGATCCTGCCCTCTGTCTGTATTTTCTTATTTAGCTGTATTCAAGCATTTCTGGGTGTCAACCTTTGGGCAGTGGGTGTCTAGTCCTTCAGCCCAAACAGCTCAAAAGGTGTGAGGTTGGAACTCTATGAAGACGTGGGAAGCAGGTGCCAGATCGAAGATCCAAGAGAAGCCGCTGAACCGGGGAGGAGGGGCCAACTCTGAATATTATGTTTCCAAACCGCAACCAACAAATCCTACTCATTCTGCCTTTAACTTAGAGACTGCAGAGTATGATTTTTATAGTTACTATGCCAGTTACACAAGTGAATTATATAATCGTTGCATCACAAGCCTCAGTGGCATTCTTACTAATAACCTTAATTAAGCGTACCACTTGTGCACAGGAGGTTGCATATATGCAGAGCAGATGATATACTGCTTTATGCATATTTATACAACTGCTTATGTTACAGTTTTCTTTCAGCTGGATAAAAATGTTGAACTTCATCTGGTGACTCTATGCTCTCTATTAGGAACTCTGTAGAGGTCTTGACTTACCCAGTAATAAGGCTGTTTGTGCAGATTCTTGTCCCCACGTCTTATCTGCTTACCAGCAAACACACACTGTTGTTGTGAAGAGCAAGTCCAGAGGAGGAGCTGACTGAAGAGGAGCAGGAAGTAGGAGGAGGCTGGTTTGAGCTTGTAGGATTGAGTGAGTGCCCTTTGCACTACCTGCAGCAGACCGCAGGCTCTCCACTGGCAGCACTTGTTTATCTGAGTGTAAATATGAGTTTCTTTGTTATTAGTACATTTATGTTTGCAGTATCAGCAGAAGGGCTACACCTTGGACAGATCACCAGTTCATCACAGGGCTGAAACAAAGAGACAAAAACAGCTATTCACGCTCACATTCACACCTAGCAATTTAGAGTCACCAGTTGACCTAACCTGCATGTATTTGGACTGCGGGAAGAAGCCGGAGCACCTGAAGAGAACCCATGCAGTTACGGGGGGTGACATGCAAAAGAAATGCCCCAGACTCTATATTTTGATTACTACTGCCAGGAAGATGTGGGTGTTAATTACACTTTCTCAAAAGTTTTTTTTCCTTTGTTAATAGTAGCAGAAAGCAGCTTCAGGGCCTCTATCAATCAGGCCACAAGCTAACTCAAATATTGCCTCCTGTGTGTGTGTGTGTGTGTGTGTGTGTGTGTGTGTGTGTGTGTGGTGTAGTCCCAGGTGTGGCTGCTGGTTCATTTGCAGCCCTCTCCCAGGGGACGAGTCCCTCATGTCACTGCGTCTATCAGACACTCCCCTCTTCCTCCTTCAGTACACTTCCCTGCTGCCCTCCTGCTCATTTGCACTGGTTAGCATTCATCTGACCTACGCTATTGTGAATATTAATGAGTGTGTGTGTGTGTGTGTGTTGGTGTATTAGTCTCACTTCATGCAACATGCATATAAGATTAGATGTCATCAAAACATTTTCTAATTTCTGAATTCCCCACTGAAATACAAAATGAGCCACTTGAGTGACTTGCTTATTCAGAGAAGCTTCTGAGACCGTGAGTGCTAAACTGAGTGTGAATCACATCCTGTCTCTGTTATAGAGGCAATGTGCCTTTGAGCAGGTATGGTATAGCGGACATGCTGATGATGTTTTAAAGACCTGTTAAACCAATTTAATAATGACTCAGAAGCACCCACAGAGATAATAAATAGTCCCTCAGTGTTTGGAACGCAGCCTGGATTGTAAAAGGAAGCCAGACAACACAGTCAGGTACACTTTTATATCCTTTTCACAAGGCACAACTTAAAGGATAAAAAGACTGGTGATGTTATATATTTTTCTCAATGTCAACAAATCCAAAAGCAACAATGAGTTTAACCTACCAACAACTATTTTCTGTATAGCCTGATATAGCTTATTCCTTTGTGCAATAGACCTCCATTGTTGTCTAAAACCTATGTAAAACACATAAGTGAATCACACTGTTGCACTAGGTTTGTCTTTATTGAGAATATAGGCACTGTAGTTTTGCTGGAAGTGGTCGCTACTGCGGATCTGTGAAAACTGTCCCAAACAAATTTGCTATTTACTCATGTATGAGTAATGTTTGCTAAAAACTACAGTGACCAGCTGTTTTATGAAATTATTTAGCCTTTCTTAAAAAGAAACTTAATATTTCTTACCCATATTTAACGATATACCTCTTTAGTAGGCTGAGATCCACATGTGGGGTGGGGAATTCAAAATGTACTAAGATTGATTGAGAGCTAATTCATTGTTTTTTTTTTAATTTTATTTTGGTATTTTCATTAGATGTCTTTGCAATATAACAGCATTCTGATCCATTAAAGGAACAATTTGGCATTTTGCAATATCTTTTTATTTTCGGGCAGAAAGGTAGATGAGCAGACTGATACAACTCTCAAATCTGTATATTAAAAATTCAGCCAGCAGCTGGTGAGCTTAGCTTAGCACAAAGACTGGAAATGGGAGGAAACGGACAGTCTGGCTCTGTCTAAAGGTAACAAAATCTGTTATTATTACTCCTAAAGCTCATTAATTAACACGTTATATCTTGTTTATTCAATCTATGAAAAACCAAAGTGTGAAAACAGCTTTTGTCAGACAACCAGTAAAGATCACAGGAACAAAATTGTAATTTTTACACTTTAGTTTTTGCTCATTTGTGATTTCTTTATGATAAGAAAATCTAACTGGCTGCAGGATTCAACTACAGTCTCTGGGTTGTGTGTTTATAACTCTCCACCCTTCTTGTTAAATACATGCTGACAAGAGTTCTTAACAGGCGGTCTGTCTGGCGGTGAGAAAATGATTGAATTAAAACAATGTCTAAGCTACACGATGTGGATCAGCACACACGACAGATGGCATCTCAGGTTGCCAAGACAACTGAACCCTAATCCACCTCCCTTTTATCCCCACTGCAATGGCGGTGGTGGTGATGGTGGGGGGGGGTCGATAACTCAGCACAGGGCACCATGTGCTGTGTACCACTCAAATTGGTCCCCTGGGTTAAGAGGACCTGAGGCCCATCAGATGGGGACACACTTATTAGGGACTCACAAGTGTTTTATCATTCTGTCAGATTAAAGCAGATCTCATTTTGAGGTGGAATGAGCTGCGTTGATGAACGTGAATATTTTCTGTGTTTGCTGCTTTTAGCCAGATATGTGCATGTGTCTGTTTTCTGTCCAGCTTTCAAACACTTTCTAGTTATCTCTTATAAGAATGTGAAAACTGGGACACACCTCCACACAGTACATTAACATCCCTTCATGTTGACTTTACATTCAGTTCAGATGTGAATGTTTTAGTACGAAGCTGGATTTTGACTCACCCGCATGCACATCATACATTTTTACTTGACAATACTTGTTTTATGTATACATTTAAAGAGTGATTCCACCAAGTTTACACAAACAGATCAGGTTACTCATCATGAAGAGCTACTCAGCCAGTGAAAGAGTTGTATAAAGTCTTCTGTGGCTGTGAGGGATTTTTCACCAGAGTCAAGAGACAACACATTTATTACACAATGCCTGTATTACAAAGAAAAGGTATGAAGTTTAAAGGGACATTGTGTAGTGTTTTAAGTATTTTATTAGCTAAAATCAATGTCTTCATTCTTAAATGTGTCCTCATTGGTGTAAAATTACCTCTGCCAATGATCTGACTTATCCTCGTAAGCGAAGAATTTCTTATCTGTATATACATTGGAGTCCATGGAGGCTTCCATGTCGTTCCGCCATTTTGAAAAACTATAATCGCCGAGAGGGACATAAAGCCCTAGCCTACCTGTCTCGCTAATCCACAATGCGTTTTCGTTCAGAGCCAGCGTCACGTGACTGAAACCAGCTATAACGGAGAAGGAGATCAGTGAGAGGCGCTTGTTACTGCCCCGGCACATTTGAAAGTCTGCACTGCACTTTAGTTAATAATGGAGGATCATACTTATGCCGAGCCCCAGGAGAAGGAATCCTCGTCGCCAAAAAAGCGAAAAGGGAATTAAAAAGGCAACGTGACCGGCGAATTAAAAAAAAGAGGGTAAACATCTGGGTAGCTTTTCCCAGGTGGAAAGAGCTAATGAAGGAGAAAAGGGACGCTGAAGTTGCCTGCTTTCTCCTCGACAGGTAGGCTTCTTGGTACATAACGGCTACCGTAGTTGCAATACGCATTTGAAAACGCGAGGCACTAGAGAGCACTATTCGTTTGAATGCAAAATACAATTTCACCACTAGATGGGAGAAATTCCTACACAATGTCCCTTTAAAAGACGTGGGTACCAGGCAGGGAGGGTGTAACAAAAAGATGCTGATGGTTCGATTAGGAAATGTATGATCCAATATTGTTGACGCTTGGTTAATACCAGGGACTAAAATCCAAGATATCTTGGCTTTTGCTGCATCAAGATTCACCATTTCTATGTTAGTGTAGACACATGGTGATTCAACATGGCGGCCTCCATGAAGGAGGACCTGCTACCTCCTGTAGATAGAAACAGCTCATTCTAAGGTAACAAAAACACAATGATTCCTATATTTGGGTGATTATACACTAAAGAAAACATACTGATGAATATTATATTCAATTTCTGACAATAGATCCTCCTTAATGTTACACACTGGAACTTTCAATGTGTCTCTTTTGAGTCCCCCAAAGTGCAATACTAAAGTTTTTATATTATCCTGATAATCAGACTGGATTGCAACTTCATTAGACTTTTATTTCAATGGTTGAACAAATCCGAGATGTTGGTGTCAATTCAGAAGTATGTAACCAGTCTTTTTTTGGGCACAAAAAATTCCTAAATTCCTAAAAATCTCCTGAACTCACATTGGTTTTCAAATCACATGTGACTTTTTTTATACAAATCCATAAAATGTGATTTAAAAACAGAAACATTTGTAGGCTACCTTGTATCTCATAAAATGTGCCACCATCATCATATCACGTATTGTGAGGAAACACTCCCCTCTGCTCATCTCAGAGAAATTTATTGTGATTTCAATCATGTCATTGCATCGTTTTAATTACCACTGATTATTCCTACAAAGTATTAAACCTGTCGAACTGTCGCAGTCTGTCGGCGGCTGTGTGGCTCTGAGACGCTCATATAAATGACTAATAAATAATATGTCAGCCAGTCCTGCACATGACAAATGAACACTGGTTACCTTGGCTCAGGCTGGCGGACCAAGGGGGTCAGTAGCTGCAGGGCAGACCTTTACTTTAATTAAACTACCTGTCACACTGAGCGTCTGAATGAGGAGCCAGTGTGGAATTATGGCCAGGAAATTACTGTACTTTACCTTTGAGTCTACAGCAGCAATGAAGAAATAAAAACACCTAAAAACAGATTTATTTACATAAACGTTCTGTACAGTTTTACAGTTATCTACAGTATATAAAGCAAACCAAGATGCAATATCCTGAGAGAGCAAAATGATTTCCATGGAGTATTAAGAAATGGCCACCAGAGGGCAGCATAGTAACTTAATCACCAGCCCTTGATGCTACACTAAAAAGGAAAAAGAGGAGCCATCTTTACTTTTAATGGAGTGGGTTGCAGCTATTGTGTAGTGATTTCATGCGTTCTGCTTTTGAGTAAAATGCAAAAA